AGGCTTCTTTGAACTTGGGCCACCGTATTTTGGCCTCGGATGCTCCTTGGGCTCGATGGGCCTGTGCAGGAAAAGTAGGAGTCTGTGGGCCGGGGGTTCCTGGGCCATATACTCCATCATTACTATTTTAGTCACACTATACAAGAAGTCACAACTCCGTCACGAGATCATTTTTTTTGGTATCATGCCTGTCACAAGCCAGGATAAAGGAGGAGGGTGATGTGGTAGGCGTGTGACGGCCAATAGTATCACCTAGTCACATCACATGACATGAATCGAAATATGAATATCGTTACAACTAGGTCGTCTCCCGTAAGCGACGCATCATCCCTCCGCCTGGGGGTGGTGTCAAATATGCAAGGGCGCGCTACACTTCATAGGCCTAGGTGTGGTGATAAGAATGCTAAGGTTGTTAGGTCGTCGCCCGGAAGCGGCGCGTCATCCCATTGCTCGGGGATGATGTCAAATATGCAAGGGCATGGTGGGGTCCAAGGCGGGGCTAAGAACAGAAGGTGGGGTGCTAGATTGCGCTTTGGGACGTGGAATGTTGGGTCTCTTACAGACAGATCTTCCGAGGTAGTTGAAGTTATGAGGAGAAGGAATATCAGCATTATGTGTATGCAAGAAACTAAATGGGTTGGAGAAAAAGCACGTGAGATTAATCCCAGAGGTTTTAAGTTGTGGTATTCGGGGAGAGATAAGACCAGAAATGGGGTAGGCATTATTGTGGTGCGTGACTATGTTGAGGATGCGGTAGAAGTCTTCGGGAAGAACAATCGCATTATGAGCATTAAATTGGTGATAAGGGGTGAAATTGTGTCTGTGGTAAGTGCTTATGCACCACAAGTGGGATTGAATGCATCTACAACTCAGCAATTTTGGGAAGATCTTGAAGACGTGGTGCGACGAGTGCCAAGGGGAGAGAAGTTGGTCATAGGAGGCAACCTCAACGGGCATGTGGGCTCAAGTTGTGATGTCTTTGAGAGCATTTATGGAGGACATGATTTTGGCACTAGAAATGAAGCAGGAAAGAACATCTTGGATTTTGCCTCGACGTATGAGTCATTGAGTTGGCTATAATGAACACTTGGTTTATGAAAAGAGACTCCCACCTTGTAACATATAGAAGTGGAGCTAATAGTACCACAATTGACTACTTCTTAGTACGGGCTACTTGGAGAACTAGCTACACTGATTGTAAGGTTATCTCAGATGAGAGTGCTGTCACTCAGCATAGGATGCTTGTGCTTGACTTTCGAGGTAAGAACCATAGAAGACAAGTTAAGCAACAAGTGGAGCCAAAGATAAAGTGGTGGAGGCTTGAGGGGGATCTTTAATAAAGCTTTACACACAAAATGTTCGGTGAAGATGTATGACGTATTGATAATGAAACACATGTGGGGGATGTGTGGTTATGAATGGAGCTGACCATTAACAAATTGGCAAAGAAGGTACTTGGAGAATCTAAAGGATGTCTGCCACCCAAAAAGAACACGTATTGGTGGAATGATGAGGTGAAACAAGCCATAAGGAACAAAAGAGATTGCTACAAAAAGCTGGGGACAAGTTGGAGTGATGAGAACATAGAAGCATACAAAGAGGCTAAAAGACAAGCAAAGAAAGCCGTAAAGGAAGCACTAGGGAAAGTGAACAAGGAGTTGTATGAAAAATTGGACTCTAAGGAAGGAGAACAAGATATCTATAGACTTGCTCGTCTTCATGATGGCAGGACTCAAGATATCGGAAAAGTTAAGTGTGTGAAGGATGTCGATCAAAGGATATTAATGGAGGACGGAGAGATAAAAGAGAGGTGGAGGTCATACTTTGATACATTGTTCAAGGGGAACAAAGTGCAAGATATTGGTGATTAGACCATACCAGATTGTATGGTAAATCGTGATTTTGTGATAAGGATCCAAACAACAGAAGTTAAAGAGGCTCTGAGGAAGATGGGGCGAAGAAAGCAATGGGTCCTGATGTCATACCGATCGAGGCTTGGAGAAGTTTGGGAGAGAGAGGCATCAAGTGGTTAACAAATTTCTTCAACAAGATTTGGAGAAACAACAAGATGCCAATGAGTTGGAAAAAGAGTACTCTTATTTCCTTATTTAAGAATAAAGGTGATGTACAAGAATGTGCCAACTATCGAGGGATTAAGCTTATGAGTCATACCATGAAACTTTGGGAGCGAGTGATTGAGCAAAGACTTCGAAGAATGGTGAAGATTTCAGAGAATCAATTCAGCTTTATGACTGGTCGCTCAACAACTGAGGCCAATCACCTTCTTCGGAAACTTATGGAGAAGTATAGAGACGCTGAAAAGGATTTGCATTTGGTGTTCATTGACTTAGAAAAGGCATATGATAGGGTACCTCGATAAGTTCTTTGGTGGGTCTTAACTAGAAAAGGCATATCATGCAAGTATATCAGCATCATCATGGATATGTATGAGGATTGTACCACAAGTGTCTGTACTAGTGTAGGGAGGACTGCGGAGTTCCCTATTACTATCAGAGTGCACCAAGGATCGACTCTGAGCCCTTTCTTATTTGCCATAGTCATGGATGAACTTACAAAGTCAATTCAATACGATATACCGTGGTGCATGATGTTTGTCGACAATATTGTATTGATTGATGAGACGCAATCAGGGGTTAAAGCAAAGTTGGAAGTATGGCGACAAACATTGGAGAACAAGGGTTTCAGACTAAGTCGGAGCAAGACAGAGTACATGGAGTGAAAGTTTGGTGGAGGTAGAAGCAGTGGTAATAGCGGAATTACTCTAGATGATAAAGAGATACCGGTCAGCGATATGTTCCGTTACTTGGGCTCCATAATTCAGAAGAACGGTGAGTTAGATGGAGATGTATCCCATAGAATCAGAACAGGGTGGATGAAGTGGAAGAGTGCGTCAGAATTTCTATGCACTCGAGGTATGCCAACTAAACTAAAGGGTAAATTTTATAGGACAGTGATTAAGCTTGCATTACTGTATGGCACAGAGTGTTGGGCGGTGAAACGATGTCACATTAAAAAGATGAGTGTGCAGAGATGCACATGCTGCGTTGGATGTGTGGGCACACTAGAAAGGACCGCGTGAGGAATGAGACAATCAGACAAAGGGTGGGAGTAGCACATATTGAAGATAAGCTGCGGGAGACATTAGGAAGCATGTGAGAAATGATATGTGCAATGTGTTTGACTATATTTCCTCTGAGTCTGCTTTAAATGTGCTTAATTCACTTTTAATTAAAATTTTTGTGCTTTAAAAATGTGATACCATGTGATTATGTGAGCTCCGCCTGTGCTAGTTATAGAAATAATATTGTTTCTTTTATTTTCTTTGTACTTGTTATGTGTGGTTGTTGGATTAGTTGGAATCCCCAACTTCTCCCGGATGCTTGCTTGCGTGGTCTATTAACATGTGTTGTGCTTGTTAATAGTTTTGTGATGGTTTTGGTTCTGAACTCGAGGACCGATTGGTAGAGTTCAGTCCATCGTGAAGTGGGTTTGCATGGTAAGCTTGGTCCAAAAGGGAACTTTGGTTCTCATCTATTACTTGTATGATCGCAATGATGTACTTGTAATAATCCGGCGATGATGAGTCTCCTCACAACTTTGTATTGCTACTCTACACCACATAGGACCAATAAGGTGGAGAATGTTGGAGGTATTGGTCCTACCAAGACCTCCCTTCCACTTTATTATTGACTTGCACCCCATGTTTACTCCCACTTTGGCACCTCTTGTTTGAATCTTTCCTAACCAATAAGATGGCTATTGCCTTATGTGGAGTGACCCCATCTTGAGTTGTCTGCTGCAGTCTTTCCTTGTCTTTGCATCACCCGTGAGTGTCCTCTTGTTGGCAAGCCTATTATTTATGTAGCTCTTCTTCTTCCTTGAGAGAGCAGCCTGCGTGAAAACTAGAGATAGCAGTGCCCTTCTTCTTCTCCATTTCCTTTGTGTGAGAGTGTGAGAGAGAATACCTTAGTGGTAGAGAAGAAGCTTGGAGTTGTGTTGTGGTCTAGCCTAGGGTGGTGTGTATAGCAAAAGGGTTGGAGACCTGAGCCGGAAAGAAATCGACTCCCAACAATCATGTTTCTGGGCGAATTTATATTGTACCCTCATAGACATTAATTACTGGATTAATCATGTTTCTGGGCGAATTACTTGATTCCCTTTGAATCTTCCGGGCGTAAATTGGGAGATAGAAGAGGATTCACTTAATTTGTATGTATAATCTCTGTGTGGTGTTAACGTGTTATAGAGTCTAGAATACAAACTAATGACCCATCATGAATTAATATAGCCTGTATCTACGGATACTAGGGGGAAATCCCCTAGTATTAAATATAGCATGTAATTGGGACGAGTTCCATTTGTTTAATTACTAGATGAAATTATTTGTTCTACGTCTAATCCCAAATATATAATTCTATAATCAGTAAAGCCAAAAGAAATGAAGGGGGAAATCCCCAAACTGTTTTACTGCTATTTGCCTATTTGGCAATTGGCATGATGTGTTTTTATGTAATAGGTAGGACTTGAAGTTGACTGTTAAAAGAAATTGAGAAAATTCTTGTTCATACTAGGGTCGGACCGGCCGGTACCGGTCCCAGAAAACCGGGCCCGGGCCGGTACCAACAGTACCGGTCCTGGGTTAGGCCGTCAGTGCCCAGTCTACTATCCACCCCTAGTTCATACAACAAAAAGTTTTGAATTATTTCAACCTATGATTCATAATTCCATACGTTGTAGTATGTTTTTTTCCCTAATATGATACATGTCATCATATCCATTCCACATTTACCCTTCACTTTTTACATGGCTAAACATAACTAAGAAATAAAGTCGATTCTTCCTAAGTTCCTATAATAAAAGATTTCATATACACTTAGTAGAAGCTTAAAGGCTAGAGTATATGAAAATAAATCAACCCGATCAATAGTAGAATCACCATCCCTTCGACGGCAGTTGATACCATAACATTTCAATATGCATGACTTTTGTTTGGGTGGATATGCATAACATTTAAAAATCACAAGTCAACTTCAAGTCCGACCTATTACATTACAAACATTGAACAAAAATGACATTTGTTTGCTTATACATTTATACTTCACACACTCATTAATCACAAGTACATATTCATCGACCATCAAATCACCAGTACATTTAATAATGGTAATTGTTTTCTGTGGTTCTAATTTTAATTACAAGTAAATAATTACACAATAAATCAGAAGCAAAAACAAAGGTGTAAAAAAGATAAATATGTACTAAAAAGAATGCAATTCGCATGTTTAGTGAGCAGCTTGCGTGTAGCGGCCTGACCATTGATGTGTATAACTATTAACTTCATGAGGTCCTAGAGAAATTGTTTGGCTTGTTCATTTCCCTAAAGCACAAAAACAAACATATGTTGTTATTTTTCCAAAAGAAATTCCAAAAGAAATTCCAAAAGATATGTATTTAAGTAACAAAAAAAGAAACCATTTTACCCCTTGGGATTCTTTGAACATCGGAAAATATTGCGTATGATTTCACTCAATGGCGTCCTTGGAACCGGTATAAGCTTCCCTACCATTGCAAGAGGCCAGCTATTTTTTTTTCAAAATAAACAAACAAGAAATTGGTTACAAACAGTACGAATAGAACAAAATCATCTAATACCTATTTCTATCAAAAATAATGTTTGATCAATGCAAAACCTTTTTGGTTTTAATAAAATAAGCTTATCACAATTAACACTAATGTGTACGGAGGAATTTGTTGGTTGAGTCATGTAATTTATATTTGTGTTCGTTACTTATTTCGTAAATTTATTCACTTGCATATAATATGTTTTCCACATTAACAATTTCTTCATCAAAACACGACACAACTCATCATAGAAGTCGGGACAATGTCATGTAGGTTCGAGTAAATATTGACATGTGATATGCATTGTGTTTTCCGACAGTATGAGAGATGTAGATACAAAAGTCATTAGTATAGGCAAAATTTAATATTAGGATATTTTCATGAAATTTTCTAGTTTTAGCCATTAGGTCTGGTACTCTTGTCTAGTAAGGTATAGTACTATAGTAGTATGTGTATTTTATTGTTATTTAAATCTGGTCAACTTAAGTATGAAGTCTAATCTGAACTTATATGGTCTGAGATTAAAATCCAAGTGAAAACATCCTTAGAAGGTATCATCTCCATGTAGTAGAGTTACAGGATAAATTGTGGACAAAATCACAAATTCAAAAACCAAGTTACGAACTCCTAATTAACTATTTCAAAGGATATAGGGTAAACATTTTAACTAGCACGGACAAAATACTTGGATGTTTCAAATTATTTTAGAATACAGGATATACATTTTAGAATATACTGCGTACAAAGTATCAAGTTAGTTTAACTAGCTATATCACGGGCCACGGGGGTTTGTCACATAGCGTTTTCTAGAACATTGGTCTTAAAAAAAGTTGTCACAAGAAAGTGAGAGACTAACCTCATAAAGCCAATAGCAAGAGACACAAGCCACAATTTCCAGTTAAGTCTAACCGTTGAAGTGAACTTCCCAAGAAAATTGATCATGAGAACCTGATAGAGAACGATAGTAGATATATTAGGAAGATCTGCACACACGTGAGGAATGGATGCCTATAAAGAAGCTTCAAAATGGTAAAATCAAATAAATTAAAAGAATGACCTGAAACACCACAGTGAGGGAAATTATAAACACAAATAGACGGTTTTTATGAACCCCTTCGAAAATATTGATCTCCTCTGGTTTTCGGGCATTAAATTCGTTAAAGACCTGCAAAACGGTGGATTACACATAGTTAACTAAACAGGTTGCAATGATGAATTGAAATTCAAAATCAGTTTCTTGAAAATGCTGATCAAAACATGTTGCATTCATATAGCTTGCATATAACAGGACAAAGAAGCAACATGTGATTGATTTAAATTAAAGAACTTACTTGGCAAAATACAAAAGAGTTGAAAATCAATGTATTCCTCAGCTTAATAGCATCCCCACTTTTGTGATGCTCCAAGCTCAGAATACTTGTACCTCGGAAATTCAGAACTAGAAGAACAGACACTTGATATATAGCCTGCAATTATCATATCACAAGCAACATATTTAGCCTCATAGATAGAAAAGAACTAACAATTGAAAAACATCAAAAAGGTATGTTCGAAATGCAAGTGCCTGTATTATGAGGTTTCTCCACATGATATTCGTGATGAGTGATTCCCTGAAATAACATGATGTAATAATTTTATTCTTCATATCCCAAATCACAAAAATAACAAAAAATCAGGTACTCCAACAACTCCAAGTATGTTGAAATAGGTATGAAATCATAAACTAAATATAAGATCATGACTACTCGACCTATCATATCCTTTTTTTAGGATGAAAACTTTTTCTTAACATGAAATAAATAGTCAGTACATGGACAATTTGAAATAACCAATAAAGCATAACCACCTTCGCCCAACCGGAGGCCTGTGCATTAGTTCATCAGTGGGTGGTTCTGTGGCCAGAGCTAGAGCTCCTAGAGTGTCCATGATGAGATTTACCCAAAGAAGCTGCATGTAGAATTTTAAGTGAAATTTTGCTCATTGAAATATGTATGTGTGTATAAACCACGATAAAGTCCAATGGCTTAAAATAAACAACAAAAATGAAAAGGAAGAACATGCCTGCACAGCATTCAACGGGACATCACCACCGGTAACAGCAGCCACCACATTAATTACAAGGGCTGCAATATTTACGGTAAGTTGAAACTGTATGAATTTCTGGATGTTAGCATACACAGATCTACCCCATCGAACAACCTTGTATTTCATGAAGAAAAAAAAGCATAAAAATTAGGTGTTATGGTTTACTATAGAGAAGATCAGATAGGACTCATAGGAGAGCTTGCTTAATTACAAGTAATACAACCTTAACAACTGAAGCAAAATTGTCATCCAGTATGATGATGTCAGCGCTCTCTTTGGCAACCTCAGTTCCTTGAATACCCATTGCAAGACCAATATCAGCCTATACATGACAAGAAGCGACGAAAGAATTTTCTGAGAGACTGAGATGTTATATGAGGAAGGAGTTTTGAAAAACTTGGAGGGAGGGAAGGAATATATATATAAATTCGTGCAGAGTAAGTAATAGAAAAACATGAAAGTGTACCTAACATTTAAACATGTAACTATTAAAAAAAATTACTACTTGATCGAGTTTGAGCGCAAGTTTGAGTAAGAAAGGGCAGCCCGGTGCACAAAGGCACCACGCAAGGCGAGGGTCCGGGAAAGGATTTCACCCCAAGGGTGTATAAGGGATCGGACAAGCCTTCCCTAGTCAACTTTTTTTGACAAGAGGCCGCTGACAAGACTTGAACCCGTGAGCAACGCCTTAACTGGTGCATATAGGCTCCCCTTCAACGCAAATTTGAGTAGATATAAAAATCAAACTCAAGCTCAAGTAGAGCATCACTCGGGCTCGACTTTGCTCGGTTGCACCTCTGATACATACCTCATGGAGAGCAAGAGCGTCATTAGTCCCGTCTCCGGTTACAGCTACGACATGTCCCTTCTTTCTCAATGCTTGTACAAGAAGGAGTTTGTCATTAGGAAGTGACCTTGCCATCACCTACATATACCCATCATCAACAAACAGCTTAAGCACATCCCACATACCATACATGTAGATGGTTTAACTTTGAACAGCTTCTTGACTTACCGATATCTTTTCTGCAAAGTCTTCCTGTTCCCGCACAGATAAACGGCGAAATCTTTCTCCTTCTATGGCGAGGTGATTTTCGGGGGCTGCACTGGCATTGTCTACAGGTATCCCACATTCCAAAGCTATAGCCCTTGCAGTCTCAAGATTGTCACCCGTCACCATTCTTACCTATTATTTTAGAACAAAATATGTGCTTTGAATAATTAACAAAACTCTTAAAGGATAGATTGAAGATCTTCATGCAATAAATGAGACATTTAGACCCAATTCTAGTTGTTCAGATTACTTATAAAGACACTGTATATATAGTAAAAGTTGCACGTACTCCTTCAAATATTTCTGCTAGATGAACAGTTCTAATCTAAGTTTGCATATTTCTAATTGAGTAAGGCCTTAGGAAGTTAGGGTATGTTCATTTAGTACTTCCATCCCAAAACATATGTCTCACTTTTTTAGAAAAAAAGAGTCTTGTTTGAGTTGTTTTTTGCTGTAGAGACGATTTTTTCGTGCAAGTTCATATCACAGAGGTATGTAAGATAAATTTAGTAAAGCCAATAAATATTTAATACTATAGAATTAGTGATTTATAAATTCTACATTAACAAAATTTAAAAAAAAATGTTTTTTTAATGAAAACCTGACTTTGTGTGACAAATTTGATTTTAGAATATCTAAAATTTAATTATAAATAAGAGGAATTGATTGGCTTTGTGAGATTTACCTTAACACCAGCTTTTTGACATAACTCCACGGCTTCTTTTACACCTGGTCTGCATGGATCCTGCATTACAGAATTTACTCTATTAATTCTAAAAAAGTGGTTGTTGGCAATACTCAATACAGTTGGCCAAATTAACGGCTTGTTAAACAGTTAAAGAAAGAACTAACACTTCACATTTTTGGGACACATTACAGATTCATTCCGCTAATGTCAGTTCCGATTTCTTTATTTTTCTTTTTTTTAGAATATCCTTGTAAACTTATTATAGAATCTGCTCATGATAATGTCAACATCCTAGGATAGATTTGAATCCGCGACCTCCTCTTTTGGTTGAGTTCTCATTTCCAAGGTAGACTAAAATAACTAACAATATAAGGACAAATAAAAAAAAGATTTTTCTTAAATATGGCTAAATTAAATTCATTTCCAAAAAAAATGATTACCTTTACATTTGTGCAAACCAACAAAATGTGATTAACAGTGTAATAAATTTGGTATAACATTATAACAAAATAAGTGTAATAAATTTGGAGAAACTTGATGTCACTGTGAGTCACTTTAGCCTCCACAGATGTCACTACTTTTTTTATGACCTTTCTGGCGACAGTTTCTAGGGGCAACTGGGGAGGTGTATGGTAGGGCTGAGTCGCTGAGGCAGAGATTAGGTATAAATTACAACGAGAAAAATATTGGATACTTAAATAAAAGGTTGGTTAGTCATATTTTTCCACGTAGAGCCGTAGAGGTAGTATTTGTCATTTTTCCAAAAAAAGAATGTTCCTATCATTTTTATTTAGTATTAGTTGTTGGGATCCCTCCTTAATTGAGAAGTTAATGAGAATTCTAGAATAGTGCGGAGATGTCTAGAATTCTCTAGATGTGTGTAGAGAAATATTGAATGTTCTAGAATATTCCGGAGCTTTCTAGAGAGACGTGGAGTTATCTAGAAGCGTGTGGAAGAGGGTAGAATATTCTAGAACATTGTGGAGTTTTCTAGAGAAATGTGGAATTCTCTATAATCGTGCGGAAGTTTGTGGAAGCCTCTAGAACATTCTCAAGCGATGTGGAGTTCTCTAGATCCTTCTAGAAGATTAGAGAAGCTTGTCGATAGTTCTTGGAAGAATCTAGAAATGTAGTGATGTATATATAGAAAGTTCTAGAGAAGCTTTGAGATGAGTTGTATAAATAGGGGTGAGATTCCTCATTCCTATAGGAGAGAGCCTCTAGAGAGAAAGCCATGTGAGTGAGGGCCTAGAGAGAGAGAGCCTCCTTGAGGGATGTAAGAGAGGAGCCTCAAGGAGAGCTCTTGAGTGAGGGAGAGCCTCCTTGAGATAGGAGAATGAGAGTGAAGTAGTCTCATATGCAAAGAGTGATGTGAGCTACCCGTTTACTTGTAAAACATCTCTTCTACATTTCAATTGTATAATACAAAGTGATATTGTTAAATTGAATCTTTGTGTTACGAGTGGGTGGGTGAATGTACAAGATCCTTTGAGCTGGTGATCCTGGAAGAGGTCGGGGGTCGTGTTTTCCCCAACATTAGTACTCCATATAGCACCTCAACCGTGCCGTACAATTATTTCAAACCAAGAACGTAAAATGGTATGAAAATATAAGAACATTAATATGAAATTCCTATTACGGTCAATGATTTCGGTACAATTAATATAATTTTAGTACGGATTGATCAATGATTTCGGTCAAATAACATGTGCCAATTGCCAAATCCTCTATTAATTTTGACAAATACATAACAAAGATCCCTTCCAACCCCATAACTTTTTGTCGTAATATGGAATCATATGATTATGGGAAATTGCCCTAAATAGGAGTGAAAACGTTTGTGTATTGCAAAATAAGATTGTCATGTGTTAAGATCTGAGGTTCCATCCTAAAAAGTCAACCTGTTAGGAGGAGTAGTCCGGATCTTAATATAGTGTATTAGTGTTAAATTCTTTCAGAGATATCCGGTGTGGGACTTTTAACACCCCTACTCACGACCAGACACTTCGTCTGGATCGTGCCGTCATTCATTTTTTTCATCAGTTCGTCATTGTCATTTTTTTATAATCGTGTCATCATTTTTCATAAGGGGCTCCCACACCATGGATCGATTTGGCTCTGATATCATGTTAAGACATGGGGTTCCATCCTAAAAGGTCAACCTATTAGGAGGAATAGCTTAGATCTTAATATAGTGTTTAATTCTTTCAGAGATATCCGGTGTGGGACTTTTAACATCATGTTTTTGTTCATCAAATAAGAGTAATTACTATCACGTTTTGGCAGTTTCAGACTTTAAATATGACAGTATTTTCCAAACGTAGTCATAGTTACTCTTATTTAGAGAATAAAAACATGACAGTCCTATTTTGAAATTCTAAAAGTTTTTACTCATAATTCGAGAATTTTTCCTATTCTCCAACTTTTTTTAATGTTGGCAAAGTACGACAACATTCATATTGTCATACTTTGGTATAACTAGACATTAATATTAATACGTATGACACTATGATCACTCTTATTTAAGCATTCTTCCACTCAAATGCAAAACCTTAAATTGAGTCAATTACCTTGAGCCCAAGGATAGTGATTAAAATGAGGTTACGACCAAGTTCCTCCACACCCGCAGGAATTTTCCTCTCATCATCGTAAATCTCGTACGCAATAGCCACACATCGCAAAGCCTTTTTAGCCATATCTTCAATTGCATCGTTGAAGAACTTCCGCTAATAACCACATACGCTCAAAAGGTCAGCTATACAAAAACTTCACATAATTATCCTTTTTGTGTAGAAGTGAACTTAAATATAAGTGTATTGATTTATAATTATCCTTTTTGTGTATATTTATACTACACAAAAAGGATAATTATATACTTTTATTATACTTTTAATAAATATATTTAATCAATATACACTTTTAATATATATATTTGTAATCAATATACTTCTAAGCTTACTTTTTAGCCATATACATAGTATTGTATAACTCAATTTTCCAAGCATTCTCTATATATAAAACACCCCAAACATCGAAGGGGCGTGAGGTAAACATCCCAAACTTGTATATGTAATTTCCTGAACTTTATTTAAAGAGTTATGTTAGCACCATGAGGCATGAGCATATAATTTTCACCATAAATCATATGACCATAAATTTTAAATAAATATATGATCGTGGTGCTAAAATAACTTTTAATGTAAAGTTGAGGTATTTAAATTACACATGCAAGTTTGGGATACTTATCTCACCCCACTTCAAAGTTTGGGGTATTTAAATTATTTTTCCCATAATTAAATAAGGTAATCTGAGTATATTTTGAGAAATAGTTTTGATAGTTTGGTATATAATACAATAACGCTATAGATTATCGGTGTAATAATATTTATGTTTATTTTTTACATTGATAATTAATTTAAGTTATTATTTTAGAGTGCTAATTATTTCCTAAAATGGAAATGGGAACATTAAGCTAGGATGACCATTGTCCAAATGAGAAAAGTAAGAACTTAAGTTGGAACGGATAGAGTAATATCTAATGCGCTACAATTTGGCTCTAAAACTACGTAAGAAATTACTATTACTGAAAAAATAAAGGAACTGCTACAACTAATCTGTAAAATGCAACCAAACAAAGAACCAACCTTATCCTCAGACATAGTCATAATCTTATTTTCATTAGTAGTAATGTAACGGTTACAGTGGCGTAATACAATCTCAGCAGCACCTTTCCAGTGTGTTATGGTAACTCCTGAATCTCGCTGCCAAAAAATCAAGACAAATTTTTAAATCTAAATGTTAACTATCCAATTTTTTATTACAAAAGAACAAAAAAATAATTGATTGTTTCAAAAGAATAATATCAATCGGGTCGCCCGAACAAGAAAATTTGAGTTTACTGTTTCTTATTTATATAGTACATTTATTGAGAAAGTTAAAAACGTGTTTTTGAGATTTAGTATGAACGACCCAACTATTCATTAAAATAGAATGACCTTATTCTACAATGAACGATTAATGAATGAAGAACATTTTTAGGAGGAAATACCAAAGATTATTAGCATAGTAGTGCAATAAGAGTATAGATTAATTTCATTTGGTATGCAGAGCACATGAGGTAAGTTGTGATGGCCTTGAAACATTTTTCATTAGTCCATATATGTACAAGGATGAGCTAGTTTACCCTTTTTATCGCCACACCACTTAGCTTTTTCTCCGAGTTGAATGGGAATGCACGGATAATTGATGATTCCGATCGAATAACATCAAAACCCATTCCAAGCTACATAAGAAATTATTTGGGGTTAGTATGTACAAGTATCACATGTAAAATAATTGTTAACAATGCAATGAAGTAACGTTACCGTGACACCAAATTCGAGAATGGCCTTTTCTGTTGGTGATCCAGAGTACTCAGGATTTTGACCATCCTGTCAATGGCAATATCAAAATAAGGACATGGAGTCACCTGTGTTTTTCTATGGAAAATATTTAGAACTAATAAATTTGCAAGACACTACTACTGTTGAAAAAAAGGAGTGGAAGTCGTTGGAAAACGACGACTAAAAAACACCAAAAAAGATCACTTAGAGAGCGCAATGAGATAAGAATTGCAATTGTGAAATGTTGGTGTCCCTCCATAATTGGTATAATCCTAGTACAAGATACATATTTAACCAAAAGAGTAGTTAAGCTTAAATTATTTTCCTACCACTTTAGGCATAAAAACACTTCCAGTTGTATTTACTGCAATGCCTTCAACAAGAACATGATTGACTTCTGTAAACATCTCCACTCGTGGTTTAGTTTGAGCTTCCTCAATCTTTTTATCACTAAAATGAACCTCAATCACAGTCATCTGGAAAAAACAAAAACAAAAACAAAAGCATATACATAGGTTGAAATAAGTAAACATATATTCCATGTTTAGACCTTGTTGAATGCAGTGTTTTATGATTTAGGACCCAATTCAGAAGTAGTATATGCAACCTCAGAATAATATCATTAATAATAATATATTATCGAGAGAGTTAGGGAAGCGAAGGAATAGTTAATGTTTCTCAAGCACACTGCAAGTTAATGAAAAATGATTTTTCCCTATAAACATGAAAAAAAAAATTATGTTCCCTAACCTTTTTCCTACATGTATAATTGCGAGATGAACATTACATTTGTATTGAGTCACTAGAATGCAATGTATTAGAATGCAATGTATTAATTTCAAAATATAAATATTTGGCATCCTTAAACACCAAAGCAAAATCAGTAAATCAAATGATGAAACATAGGAATTGGAGATGATAATGATAGTTTGTGTTTACCTGATTCACAGTTAACGTTCCTGTTTTGTCACTGCAAATGGTTGTTGCAGAACCCATGGTTTCACAAGCAGAAAGCCTTCTAACCTACAATTATAAAGATTTAACACCAATTAGAACTTCAAATACCTACATAAAGTAAGGAAAATAACACTTTCGGTCACTCATTTTTTTACGTATTTTGAAATCTAATATTTTTCTTCAGTATATTGTAAATGTAAATGTAGTATCTACAATTGTTCTTAATATCGTAGAAAAGTTGGTCATACAACTATCCAAATATTGTCCCTTTATTTTATAGCATGTTGTGAATATTTTTCCTCGATCATGTAGCAAGTTGTAGACTAGTCTTTTTCATTATTAATAGAGTATAATGTACAAATGGTCTTGTTGAATTATTACCGTCGGGAACTATTTTACAACATTTTACACAACCACAGGAGGACATTTAAAAAATGAGGAATCAAAAGTGTGATTTTGTATATAAACTATGTGTCATAAAGTGTACATCAAATAAAATTAGTAATAAGTATTTGTATAGTACCAATGCCTTGTCTGCCATCATTTTTTTCATCGAGTATGCCAGCCTACAGTACACATGTTTAGGGAGTACATTATAGTGGTGTTTAAAGTAATTGACTTATAACATGTACATATAATGATTAACATAATTGTAGAAGAGATTAAATGGTAGAGAATTATCACTTCAGTGAACTTACGTCAGAGTGACAGCCAAGGGAAGGCCTTCTGGCACAGCCACAACCACAATGGTAACCTAGATATTTATTTTTTCATGTAAGTGGCAATCTTAAACCATATAAGCCAAACCATAAAGTATTTATCCAAACTTACAGCAATAGTGAAAATTTTTATAGCCCCATTTACAGCAGCACTAACTTTAGTCTTCCCAGCTTGAAATTGTACAGAACCATCTGGATTTTTTGTGTGTCCAGTAAAGAATCTATTCATTACATGCACAAAATGGTAAGTATTGGAACACAAGTGTGGAATTCAAACTGACTTGGTTTAACTACATGTGAAGTACCTGATCAAAAGAACAGCTAGAACAAGTATAGCTATCACAATCCCAATGATACCAATAAATGTTGCAACTCCATTCAAACGTACCTGACAAGATACACATACATGTTGCAGCTTATATACGGAGTATGAAATATGTTGGGCCGCGGGTATGCGGATCAATGCGGTGCTAGCACTATTAGCGATTGCTTTTAGTGTAGCGGTAAGCGCAATGATCCACAAAATATTATTATAATTCATGTGTTCACGCCATTCAACCTGCAATGGTGTTTCTTCCGCATTGTCTTCTGAAATGCCAGCCATTAGCTGTCCCCATTCTGTTGCCATCCCAACCTTTGTTACCTATAAAACAAAAGTTTTGGATTTTCATCTCATTACTCATTTACAGGAAATGAATCATTATAATATCATCAAAAACAAATTACCAGCATGGTCCCAAAGCCTTCTGCTACTTTACATCCAGACTTCATATCCGGATTTTTTGAATCTTTAGGCATCTGGGACCGTACAGCCAAAAATTCATAGTAAACAAGAATTTGGACTAATATACAAACAATATTACTTCCAAATAGATTTCTAGCAAATACTCACAGGTTTGGTTTCCCCTGTCACACTCGATTCATCAAGTTTAAAAGAGTGTCCAGATATTAAAATTCCATCAGCAGGAACCTAGAATAAGTAATAATATGAAGGAAATAAGTTCCAAGAGTAAAAAAAGTCTTTTAGGGAGGAAGAAAAAGATTTAGCGTCAACCTGATCACCAACGCCTAGATGTACAACATCACCAACAACGACCTCGTATATAGATATCGACTCTCTTCTCCCCTCTCTAATCACCTACAAATAATTTTGCACCAAATAATATAAGAAAAATAAAAAGGATAACAAATGCAGAGGATAAGACCAAATGTAAGAGAAACCTTTGTCTGTATATTTTTCTTCTCTTTATTCAGACTTTTGAACTGAAGGGATTGCTTGTAATCACTAATAGCTGCATAAAGAGAATATCATTCATCATAAAGTAATGGTGATGATAGAGGTGGTGGTGAGTTTATAAGGTTAAAATTAATCTGTTGTTCACATAAATACAAGAAAGTGGTGAGATGAAAAATCAATTGAAACAAGACTTGCATGATATATCATATTCAATTAGTAATAGTGTGTTTAATCACTCATTGTTGGATATGCAAGAAAGAAACCATTAGTAAATATCTTTACCAAACTCATTAGCTACTCAGGAACAAAGTAACTTAGCTTGTGAACTTAAAATGAACAAATAATTAAATAAACTAGTCTCAGAATTAAACTTTTGATATTTGGAAGGAAATTTTAACTTTGAAGATGTGTTTGGATTACATAACTTAGATGATAAATTAGATGATAAAATATAGTGTACATAACCAATAAAAATAAATTACAAATATTCTAAGAAAGTAAGTGAAATACTTGTAGTTAAACTAGTTACCACAAGGTAGAGATAAATCTAGGAAACATAAAAGCGGTAATGCTTCAAGTGAACTTTATATACCCGTTATGACTATGATAATGATGACTGCTAAAGCAATGCTCCCTCCGTCGTACCATCCTTCTTTTAAACCCTTAAAGACATAAGATATTAAGTGTACATGATTTATTACTATCTTCATTCAGAATAAGAGTCACATTTAATGAATTTACACCTCTTATAACTCAGGCGCCTTAACTTTGTACATGGCCATATTAGTAAATTTGACTAAGGTTTTATCACTTTAACCTTGTCATGGGGTTATTGTTGGAATATCATAACAATTTCAAATAAAAATTACTCCGTAGTTTTCTTTGTTGAACCAATATGAAGATATAGGGTAGGTGGGGAGTACTAAATACATACAGTAAAAGAGGGGAAATCCTTTTGTACACGTCATTTGTACACATTTTGCACACACAATTTTAATTCGTCTAAGACAACGCAATTTTTGAGAAAAGAGTCAAATAAGGTCTTCTACTATTATGAAGTAGTCACATAAGGCCACGTACTTAATAAAGTGTCTTATAAGTACATCTACTTGTAAAAAGCAATCAAATGAGTCCTAATGACCTATTTAACACCTCTTAATCCCGGTTTTAGCGTACTTCTGACCATCTTTTTAGAATAGATTATACGGCATACGTCGAATATTTAACTAAGATTGGTTGAAATACAAGTCAAAAAAATCTACATGTAAGCTAAAACCGGGATTAGGAGGTTGTAAATAGGTCGTTGTGACTCATTTGATTGTTTTTTACAAGTAGAGGTACTTATATGACACTTTATTGAGTGCATGGCCTTATGTGACTATTTCATAATAGTAGAGGGCCTTATTTGACCCTTTTCTCCGCAATTTTTTTTAAATCTACGGAGTTATCTGAGTGGCGTGTAAAAAACGGGGTAAACACACCGTGAAATGCTGGTGTAATGTGTACAGATAACAAGAAGGGCTGTAAAAAGAGTGGTGCAACACAACTTTTTAGAAAGTTCTTTGAAAGCTAACCTCTGTTTTGATCCCTAAAGCCAAAGAAGCAGCTGCAACTACCATCAAAATGATCAATGTCCTGTCCTGACAAGCATCCCAAAGAAACATCTACAATAGCACCAGTAGAGAAGAGGGTTATATGCAAGTTTAGAATTATAGGCATTTATCCTATGTGTGAGCAAAACTACTCATCTTTGTGTACATATATCCCTTGTTAACCTAATCTATGTGTCATTTTCCTAATCAACTTTCGCATCGCAAAAATTTCTCACCATATACATATGCCTCTCTTATATAGTTGTAACATAATAAAATATACTTCGTACTTTTGATCTCAGTTTAATGTATATAGTGCCCTAATAAAAAATAATTTTTAGGATTTTGGTATTTCGTATTTTTTTAATCATGATTTTGGTATTTCTTATTGAAGTACATAAACTATGTATATGGTGGACTAATTAAAGTTCTTAATTATTCTTTTTATGGAGTTACATGAATATATGGCTAGACTAGTATTATGCTTGGACGAGTTTCTAGATTTCCTAGAAGTAATTGTTATTTCAATACTATATATTTAATGTATAGGAATTGTAAGTGTTTATATATTGTATATATGTGAACAACATACATTTTGAATATGCTTAAACATTTTGAATTGATTAGCTTTCCTGGCTTCTTTGACTTTCAATTAGTATTTGATAACTCATTTGAATATAAATTATACATGAGATCATTTAATTAGTCTTTATTAAAATTAAATATGAATTAAAAAGATGTAGGTGTATATATATCTTGTAACTGAATATATGATCTGTTTGCTCATCAATGGAAGAATGACATCTTGTATCAAACGTAACATATGTGATATGAAAAATGATAAACACCAAGGTATCTCAAAATTGTGTGATATGATGGTATATATCATCCATTTGTATGATGCTAATGTTTAATCAAATTCTATGACATATTTATATATTTCAGACGTTTGGTTCTAAACATACATAAATTTTTATAGAGAATACATTTTTATAGAGAATGGCTTTAAATGATCCAAGATTCCAAGTATCTCTCATAAACCAATAGTAATACTTAATTTAGAAATAACTTTTAATAATACAATCTATTTGTATATATGTAACCAAGATAAATATGGGGCCTCTTTCTGACTACAAATCCAGTTACTTATCACATCAAAAGTTAATACTCGTATTGAATAATCAAATAAAGGTTGTCTCGAATTGGGGTCACCTATTTGACATTTTGATATAAGTTTTTGACTAGTAAATTAAATGGTTGAATTTCTAATAAAAAAAAGTGATTATGTATAACTTTTGTAATATAGCGGTCTGCACCCCAGTGATGTAGGTGTAAGGTGTTAGAGACTGTTTAATCAAGCCATATCCGAAATTTTTGGTCCGTTTTTGACGATCAAGTTTTCCGAATAGTCCGTACATTCCGTACAGTTTGGGCCGTACGATTTATTATTTTTCCCCCTTGGGCCGCGGTGCCTAGTTGGTTTGGGGTTAAGTTTTACTCTCTATAAATATAAGCTCTCTCCCTTGTAATTGTAAGATTTGAAAATTAATAACATTCCTGGCTTGGTAGCGCCCCCAGACGTAGTCCTCTGTGGCGAACTAGGTTACCAAATTTCGTGTGTTCTTTAATTGTTCTTCGCGTGCGTGAGTTTAATTCCTAACAGTAGGGTTTCAAGCGCCGCCTTATGTGCGGTTTCAGTTGGTTGCGGCTTTGTTGCTGGTTTCAATCCGTCCTTTCTCTGTTTTGATCTGTTTGATTTTCTCTATATATTTAGCTTTCGGTGGAAAACAATTTTCTATTTTCGATAGTTTAGCCGTTTTTCTCTATTCTCGCTGTTTGCTTCTCTGACATCAGAAGTTTTTGCATTGTGATTCTCCCAACGATCGATGCGAATTGGGTTTGCTTAGGTCGTTTGATTTCTAGATTCTTGTTTTTTCTGTTTGTGGTTTGCTAGTGTAGTCAATAGTAGGCAGAATGGGAAAACATGAGGAGTTATTGCTAGTTGATCGTCATGGTCATCTGCAATTGGAGAAGGAAGATGGCATACTGGTGGATATAGTGCTACCAGATGAGAGCGGGAGGGAGGAGCTGGATGGGGGCTATCTGAGTGGTCTCTAGTAGGTACTGTTTTTAGAGAGAAAAGAGTCAATTTTCTGGCATTTAGGGACACAATGGCTTCTATTTGGAGACCGGGCAGAGGTGTCTCAATCAAAGAAATAGGAAATAAGAGGTATATCTTCTCTTTTTATCATGAAATTGATATGAAGCGAGTTATAGAGTATGGTCCATGGTTGTATGATCAGAATCTTGTGGTGTTGCGTGAGCTCAAGCTATATGATGTGTCTTCCAAAGCGGGATCAGCGAATTATATGGCTTCTACGGAGGTGATTAATTCAGAGTCTGGTCCTTAGGCGGACGGTAGACAGGGGACTTGTTGTCACTTTGTAAACTGTTTTGGTTTGGTCCGTTTGGTCTGTTTGGATATGATAAGTTAAGCCAATTACGTTAAAAAAAAGTATGTAATTAGCATTGGTTTATGGTGACACTTTTCAGTACTCCATAATTATCATTGGTTTATTATTATGTAAATATCGATCGAATTGATTATTTTTACTATAATTAACGTAAGTAGTTTGTGGAATTAAGGGTAATGGGTCAAATAGACTCTCGAACTAACTTAAAAAGTGAATATTACCCCTAATATAGGTGTCTCTATCTGGCCATTGCCATTTGGAGCGTTTTCCGGTGGGATTTTTTGCTGAAATTTTTTGAGCATCTTATTCAATAAGTTTAGTTTACGCATACCAAATTTCAGCTAAAAATTCAATCGGAAAGACAGTCAAATGAATTATTGAAGATAACTGCGCAGTTAAACGGCGCATTACATTTCATAAAATCATTTGACTGTCTTCCCGGTTGAATTTATATCTGAAATTTGGTATGGGTAAACTAGACTTAATGAAGAAGATGCTCAAAAAAATTCATCAAAAAATTCCACCAGAAACCTCCACAAATAGTGATGGCCGGATAGAGCCTCCTATACAAGGGGTGATTTGCACTTTTTAAGTTAGTTCGAGAGTCTATTTGATCTTTTAGCCGTGGAATTAATGAAAATAAAATATATAAAATATGGAAACAATTATATAAATTCCATAATTAAAATTTTATAATATATAAGCTAAACTTAAAACCTTTAAAGGAAAAATGGAAGTGCAAATTATGTACAAATTCAAAGTAAAAAATTGAAAAACCTACATTTTAAAATTAAGAAAGTGCATAGAAATAAAAGTACATGTTTTTCTAAATTCAAAAAAAAAATAAAAGGTAATAATCCTAATTAAAGTATCGAATAATTTTAAAATGGGTTAAAAATCAGAATTTGCCAAGGAACCCAAAAATAAATACTATTTATTTATCAAAAAAATTGAAATAGTATTTTTACAAAAAATAAAAATATGAAATAAAATGTAAAACTTTTATTTTGTTAAACAGAGTATGTTTCTAGATTTAGTTAAATTTGCATTTTATGAATTCTTTTAATATTGAAATTTGTATAAAAATTTCTACGTTTTGTAAAAAAAAAAAGGAGTTGATGATTGATAATATTAAAACTTAAAAGAAGAACAAACATAGTTCATACTTGGCAGACAAGTCATATAGTTAGAACTATACTGAAATAATTAATAGTTAGGATTATTGCGAGTAATTTGGAGGCAATAATCTGGATTATTATTTTCTATTTCTTATAAAAATCATACTCGGTACCAAAACAGGTCATACTAGTTCAAATCAAGGTAAAAAAAAAAATCAGTCACAATAAAGTGAATAAAGTTGCCGCAATAACCAAAAAAAAAACATTTCCAGACATTAGAAGAAGGTAGCTATACCAAAAAACTGCGACCCTTCTTCTCCGGATATGTGTTGGGTCCATATTGAGCCTTCCGCGACTCTACTTCATTACTGTTGATTCCTCTTTCTGAATCAGATTTCAGCTCTTTAGCCATGTCTTTAACCTAATTCATCCATCCAAAGTAAAATTAAACCACCGCACTATATGCATGTAGATTATGAGTCGAGCTCATCTCCATTTCTTTCTCTCCATTTCCCCTCCATTTCTTTTTTACTTCCTATCTATCTCTATCTTTTTCTCTATCCTACTCAGCATCCTACCCCACTCTTATTTTTCTCCTCTCTATATCTCTCCAAATGGACATCTCCGGTGACTGGAGAGGATCCAAATTCGTAGATTATTGTTGTTGTTGTAATAAGATTGGAACAAATGAGAGTAACGCGATTTTTAATGAATTGACAAAGTGGAAATAAAGCAAGAATGTATTAAAACTACACATATCCTATCAAAAACGGTATGAGACAATATTAGTGAGACAGACCAAAATGAAAAAATGGAACACTTTTAATGGAACGGAAGTAATACCAAATAGATAAAACAAAGGGCTGAGAGGACAGTCGCCCCAAACTTTTTGAAAAGTGGGTAAGAGTATTAAATCGATCGGACTAATATAAACTTATATTCGGACTAGAATTAAACAATCAAGTTATATAATACACATACAACGGAACATATCTGAATCAGAAAATTTAAATCCAATTAAAAACATACATATAGAAGAGTTATTTACATAATTACATATAGTTATATACTATCGAAAAAAACTATCTTTGGACTTGAAGTTTTTCCCAATGTCCCCCATACTAAATCGATGGTGTAAGGGAGTGTCTGCAACTGCTTCTGCTTAAAAAAACACTTTTGGAGATGTAAGGAAAAAGTGATTAGTAGTAAAAGTTGATAGTGTTTGAGAAAAAAGTCATTAGTAGTAAGTGTTTTTTGTGTAGAAAAGGGAAAAACATTTTTCACACGCAAGCCGAGAAAAGTAAAAATTGGTTGTGTTTGGTAAATAAGTGTTTTTTAAGCCAAAAGCTGAAAAGTGCTTTTTTTAAGTTGTTGTTCATTTCATCGCGTAAATATAGTGTTTGTTATTTCATCGCGTAAACGAATCATGTTCACTTCTTGCGAATTTTACTCAAGGCGGGTCTGGGGGAGGGGGCCTGGGGGGCTACAGTAATCGGGGATGAAACTCACTTCATTGAGTTTCAAACCCTTATGTGCCTAGCGGGTTTCGAACACGAGACCTCTCACTAGGCACGTAACCCCACAACCAGTTAAGCTGGAATGCTTGGTTCACCTCTTGCGAAGATGTTTATTTTTGACAATGTACAATTAATGTTGTATTTCAAAATTTCATAAATGAAGCTTATATTTAAGAACTTGTATTTTCGACATATTAGACTACGTTTAGAATGTTTTTACAAGGACGGTTTCAGTCCAAGATCAGATAGACTTAAACAGACTAGCAGACCAGACGTAAACAGACCAGATCAGACCAGAGTACCTGACCAGATCAGACTTAAATAGACCAGATCAGATCAGATCAGACTTGACTTTTGTAGTTACACAGAGACCAGACGTTTACCAGACAAGACCAAACTAGTTCAGACTAGACTTAAACACACCAAATCAGACCAGACTCAAACAGATCAGATCAGACCAGAAAATTACAATTCAAGTAAAAACATACTTATTTGTAGCAAATTAAATATCTTTAAAAGTTGTTTTAATTTTGATAATAAGTGTTCTGTTTTTTGCATAGAACAAAAAAGGTTTCACATTATCACATATAGTTGTTTTAAGAAAGAAGAAAATGCTAGCTATTTATTTCTTGCTTCAAAAATTACATTTGCACACAAAATTTGTATATATGTGCACACAAAATTTGTATATATGTGGTGTTTAAAAAATCAGCAATTGTATGTAATTGCATGTGTACGTGGACTGTGTACATATTTTGTGTAGAGCAAGAATTATCATTCTTGCTTTTATCGAGCTCTGTAACATTTGCTGTGTATATTTGTTGGACAAATTTGTAACATTTCTAATACTATTCTAAAAAAAGCCATGCATTCTTATACTCCGTACTTCATGGGTACAAGCTAAGTATGAAATAAACATATGATACCATAAACATAATAGATTATGGACTTCATACATCTATATGAGATAAAAAGATTAGAAAGATAGATATATAGACACATGCATGGGAAGATGAAATATATTATATATGGAATATAATTAGTGAGATGACGATAGTTTATCATCAATCCCAAGGTACTTGACAGATACTCTGTATATTGTCATGATTCAAACAAAAGGAGTAAACTAGCGCGAACTTGCCCGAGTTTCATGTTGAGCGAGTGTTGGATCTCCCGGCAATTGACCAAACTTCTCTGCACGTCGATACATCCCATTTATTACATTTATATTAAGGTAATGCTACGATACTCATAAAAAATGAGAGTTCAGTACTTATCATGCATTTGTTTTATCCAAGTAAGTATTTCAGCATTTATTAATATTTAGTTTATTAAAATTCAATGTTCTAATTGTTCCATGTGGACAAGGTATGGTACTTTGAGGGATCAAAGAATTTGTCGTGTGTTAAATATAAAAGTTTTTCAAAAATATTACTAAAATAAACTTAATTATAAAAATATGACTATATAGCTACTTAAATTATAAGTATGGTGCATAACTAGTACATTACTACGGTGTACTGTGTGATTACATTTACATTTACTACTATACTCGCATCATTCAAACTTGCATTTTTGTAGATAACATTTATTTAAATTAAAAATATGCAACTATTTCAGCAAAAAGTCGTCATACAAAAATAGAGAATTTAAATTTATTGAAAATGGAATATGGGCACACGAAATATTAATATTAATAGAAATTGTCATAAATAGAAAAATAGAAATAAAAACGTTTTAAAATTCCTAAATAGGAGTAATTCTACATTTGTCATGTCTAAAGCCTAACAATGTCAAACTTTTTTTCTGTATATATAACATTAATTACATAATGCATACCTTCCTCTTCTGCCGGAGGGTGTAAAGTTTCCTGATAAAGCAATGGAGAGGTTATATCAGATAGTGAAGGTGGAAGAACAAATTCATCATAGCTAATTAACTAAGCAACAAAAAAAGAAACAGATTAATTAGCTAGTTACATACCGGTAGGAGTTGTGAATGTGATCTAATTTTGGATAACAATTTCGACCGTTCCTCTTCTATACGTTTCAAATCCAAAGTATACCGAAATCTGCGACTTGCATTCAACACCAGTGCCAGTTTCTGGAAAATCAAAACAATCAAATTATAATGTGATAATCGAAGGAATTATCTCACATGACACAGAATTATTTACAGAATTTATGAAGGTAGAAGATGTACGGACCCTCCATCGTCTCAGCTTCTCAGGCGGGGCAGTTTTGATAGAGTCGATAGTAAACGCATCTTCAGCGATGGAAATGTTTCGGGTGATTTGAGACTCCAAATCGCGGTGGCTGCCGCCGTGCGCCGTCATCTCCGCCGCCTCTGCTGCAGTTGTGCTCCGTCCTGCTCTGTATATATGACCGGCCGGTCAATCTCTGTTAATTCCACGACATCTTAATTGTGTTAAGACGACAGTTAATAAGGTGTCAGAAGAAGAGGAAAAGGTGAGGGTAGGGAATAAAGTTGAAAAAGAGCAAGTAATAAATTCAACAGCTAAGGAATATTGAAAAGCCAGAGATAAGAGATAGTTAAAGGCATGTATAGATAGCGTCGGTTGCTTGAGCGGAGAGAAAAGGATTATTTATACTTTCTCCCATCTTTTTTAGTTGCAACATTTCCTTTTTCATGTTTGTCGATGCATAATTTTGACCGTCATTATATTTAATCTTCTATTAGTAAAAAAATTTTAAAAATCAGATTATGGAACTTCGTAAATATTTTTCAACAATAATAATTCACATACATTAATAAATAAAATGTAGTCAAAGTAGAGTACGTGAATAGTGTGTTAATTCCAATGTTGCAACTATAATGATACGGAGGATAGTATATATGTACCAGAAAACATATATGTGAGCACTCGCGTCATGTTAGCGTGCATGCCTCCTACACTTTTTTCTGATATATACTTCATTTATCATACTACCTCCCTACATTATTTTTAAGGTGTAAAGTAGTATGGGCAATGAATGGTGTATAAAAAGTTGGATAGAATGTGTAAAAGTATGAAAGAGTAGCAAACATAAAAATACGGAGTGAGTATAAAATTTTGAATAATTATTTTAGTTATTATATTTGTGTGAAACATATACGAAGTATTCCCTTTGTATCAATTTATTTGTCTCACTTTCCATTTGGGAACGTATCAAATTAATTGCCGCATTTCTCTTGCCGCATTCCCTTTGTATCATTACAGTGTCACTAGAGTACCAAAAACTTCTTGCTTTTCATATGTACATTAATTATGTTAAATTCCGTGCAAAAGCTAATAGGAATATGGGAAATAGGACAGATAATGTGATACCAAGAGTAACGTTTTGGGTATAGCTAGGAAGCCAACCTATGCCCCGGTCTGATCTATTTTTAGAAAAATGTAAAGAGTTAGTGTCAAATATTTTGTGTCAAATTTTGTTCAAAAAAATCTTTGAACGGCACAACCCGGGTGCCTACCTACGCCACTAGTAACATTTATGCTTTTATGAACGTAATTTGAATAAATTACATTTGCAGATAACTTTTTCACATTTCAAATAATTTTATATAAAAAAACATCACCGTCAAATTTGATTTTAATAACCAAGAAAAGTGAATATGATAGAAGAGAATATATACTACTACCTCCGTCCCAAAAAGAGTTGCAAATTTGACTTTTCTTAGTCAAACAATCTCGTTTTGTTCACTTAATTAGGATGTCAATTTTTAATTATATTCTAATTTGGAGTTTACGACTTTAAAGAGATTTTAATGTAGTTTTTGAATATATAAATTTTAATTATTAAAAATTGAATTAATTATTCATACGGAGGGTTGACTCTTATTATTGGTTGACCAAAAATTGTTGACAGCAAAACAAATTGGGACGGAGGTAGTATTTCTCACAAAATTCTTCTCACTTTGGGATGTTCCAAAAAACTTGTCTCATTTCCCTTTTTGAAAGTTTTGTGTCACTAGTATTCATTTACTTTTTTCTTACTCAACCACAATCAAACATTTTCACTTTATTTTTTATTTTCTTAATAAGCGTGTCAAGTCAAACTGGAAAGCATTTTTGGGACGGGGAGTAGTATATATTTTCAACTTTTTTGTATTTCCTTTTCAACTTTCAACTGTGCCACAGACTTTTTACATGCATTTCATATCGTATTCTCTGATTTCATTCATTCCAAGACAAGTTATGTGCTATTATAGATCCTCACACTTTCGCCAAGTAGTACATATTTGATATTTCTCATTTTAGCCTTATATGGAGTATATTCTAGAAGAAGTACATCGTCTTCCTCCTTTTGTACGTCCACACTTCTTTGTTTCTTCTACTCCGTATTTTTTTCTTCTTAATGCTTTGTAGTATTTACTATTTACAAAAAATGTACTTGTATAATATAAAGATTGTAAGAACAAAAAATAGTATATTAACATACAAATAGTATGTTTAAATAATTATTTAAGCTATGTGTGAAATATGTTTCAATTTGATATACTTTTGACTAAATACATATATTGATCATGTACATAACTTAATACCTTTCGTGTGTTCTAATTCTTGCATTTTTTTTTAAATTTAATAAAATGAAGTCAAGTCTAACGCAATAAATAGAACATTAACATACTAATATGTTTTATACGGAGTAAAAAAATACTCACCCTATAAGCTTGATTGTTTAATTATACTCGACAAGGTTGTGCGTTCCAGTATTAATTCCTCCATCAAAACCCACTTTCCAGATAAAACATGGATGATTAATAAATATCCATGAAATTAAATGAGATTTAATTAATGAAAGTGGGTGATGGACTTCTACATTATATTTCTTATTTTGATGTTAACAACTAGCAAGTGCTAACATGTTTAATTGTTTACTTCATTGGTTAAGAAAGTATATATGCTTATTAAATCTGGTGTTGGTAAGCCACTGCTCACTATTTTTTTTTTTTTTTTTTGCAACAGCCACTGCTCACTAAATAGATACGGAGTAGTAGATACGTAGTTATAGACTTTTGGTGCTACCTTCAACTTTAATTAAAGCTGAGAATAATGATGGTGCACTCCCATCACAAGGATCAATTGACCAAAGCAATGCAGGTGGGCCCTCATACAACAACTAACTCCGATCCACAGGCCGACACACATAAGACCGAACTTGCGGTGTACCCTTGTTAACACTTTTTCATGATTAAAACCTTATACGAAGTATTAAAATAGTAAGAAAATGAAAGAAAAAAAAAACTTTTACGGATATTCCAAATGGAATGAGCAAACCTTTGGATTAGACATAGAGTCAATCTCACACACACAAATTGACTCACTAACCACCTTGTAGGCACACGCATAATCTATAACGATCGAATTAGTGACATTGTCAATCAATTCATGTCTCCAACTAGCTATCATAAAAAATACGGAGTATCAAGATGTGTCAACCAAAGACTCCAAAAACAAAATAAACATAACTACTTCAATTAAACGAAGAAAATATAACGCTGAAACAAAAATTGTTTTTTCAAAATCGTCAAAATCGAGGTATCAGACAGCGCTTTCCAAAAATCCCTTACTGACACGGATGTGGTTTTAGAGGTAGGCGAGCTACTACAATATTGATGGAAACGCAAATCCTTCTTCCTGCTCCGTCCTAAGTAGTTGTAGGAATATGTAGAGTCAAATACACTATTTATGCCTCAACCATACCGATCTACATAGCCCATAACTGTTACTAGTAGTTTGGAATGTCTACTCTTAACTCTTTAATGCCACAAGGAAACGAGGCATAACTTTTGTTATATCTACTTCAGGACTCGTCATCCACCCTCCCTCAAATGTTCTATTAAAGAAACTGTGCAATGTAATTACATCTTGAGACGAAAGGCATAACTAGTTTCACGCCATATCCAGGCTGACGCCTTTTATGGGTAATTAAGGTGCACATCATACGGTGTAAGATATGAGGCGTTGAGGGGATTACGCAATTGTAGTTTGACGATAATATGTGTATGTGTCCCATGCAGGTAAAGTAGATAATAGTCCGCCCCAATTTTAATTAAAACCAAATTATTTTAATAATTGACAGATACTTTTCTACTGATCTCTGCCAGTCCGCCTCTCATGTTTGTTCATCTCCAAAGTATGCTCGGTTTATTTATTTTTACGCAACCACTTCTCTGCCTTCCTTCTGTCCTTTTTTATCTCCAGCTTATGGATGGACTGGGAGTCTGGGACAGGTCAGCCCCGCCCGGGACCGGGACTGTGTAGACCCGGACCATTCTAGCCCAATGTATAGGCCCACTCCCAGCCTGGTGGCTATAAGGGCGGGCTTTGGGCTTGTTTTTTGGGTCCGACCGGGCCGGGCCGGTTCCTCGATTGCACTATTTTTTAAATTTATTTATTGCTCAGTCTCGTCCCAAAGCCCGGTCCGACCCGGTACTGTTTAGGCCCGGTCCCGGTACAAACCCGGGCCGGTACCGGGCCTGAAATTTTTAGGCCCGAGCCTGCCCAGTCCCGGCCTAACCCGGTCACGGTCCATCCCTACTCCAGCTTTGTAGACACACAAGATGTCTATCTAACCATAAACTACTTTTGATTTTCTCATTTCAGAAATACTATATATCGAATTGTCTTTTCTTTGTCTAAACATAAATTCTTCAAGAGTCGTTACCTGTATATTTTATCATCTAATGCTTGAGCTCAAGATTTCGATGACTTTATGACATTATTATTAGTTTTTTAATAAAATTTGTTGTTTTGTATGTGATTTATTTCTTATCAATTCTAACTTTTTATTTATGTATTTGACTTACAAAATAAGAGGTACGCCACAACCTTACACCTTGTGCAATGAGGCTTATACAACACTCAAAGCTAAAAAAGTGCCTCAAGTATACAATACACAATTTTTTAAGCTTCATTAAATCTAAATCTTCATATGTAACTGAAAAAAATCTAAAGAATAGAAGTTTTGAGCAAGAAAAACTGTAACGAGTCTGCTGACTTATTATCAATAAAAATCCAAGTGATTGCTACACAAATTTGCATACTTATAATCTTCCCAGTATTTCTAGAAACAGAACCCATAACCAAACCTTTCTGAGTAAATCTACTCCTAGGGGTGGACTCGGGCCCGGTTCGGGCCTGGGCCCGGCCGGGCCTCGGTTCGTGAAAGGGGAGGCCCGGAACCGGCCCGGGTAACCCCCGGGTCCGGTTCGGGCCGGGCCTCGGTTCAACTTTTTTTTTGGCTTTTCCTAATTAACCCCCAACCCTCCCCCCTCACCCCCAAACCACCTCAAATGGCCCAAAATACCCAGCCCAACCCAAAAACTTAAAAAAAATTCAAAAAAAAGAAAAATAAAATAAATTGGCCCGGACCGGGCCCGAACCGGCCGGGCCGGTTTACCTTTTCAGGGGCCCGAGCCCGGCCTGGAACCCCAGCGGGTCGGGCCTACTCGGACCGGTCCCTGGCCGGGCCGGCAGTTCAGGCCGGTTCAACGGTGACCAGGTCGGGCCGGTTCCGGGGCGGGCCGCCCGGCCCGAGTCCACCCCTATCTACTCCCCTTCCCCTACTTGCCCATAACAAGATATTGCTGCAGTAACAGATTGCATAGCAAAGAACTTCAAATTGGATATAAAGGACTTGATGAATAACACAATAAACTGTACATACATAATAGAAAAAGAATAGATTGGAAAACTGGTCATCTTTTTAGTTTTCTTGTCCAATAATTTCACAATTGGACTATGCCATATTGCTTATTCTATAGATATAGATGTATTGTATATATACAAATACAAATATACACACACATATAACCCTAGAACCATACCATCGTCTTCCTACCCCAAACACTCTTGTTTGGGGTAGTAATGAATGTACCTATGAATTGTCATGCCCATCTCACTTCACTAGTTCATGCATGTACCTGTCTCGGTGAATACATCACATCCTACATTCAGGAAAAATAAAAACTAGAATCAATATTCAACCACATCAAATTGGGGCCAAATTGTGAAACTAGCCTAGCCTAAACAAGAAACACAATCTCCAGATTGCATGCAAAAACACTAGCTTGAGGCGATTCCAATAAATATTACGGAGTAAATCATTGTTAGGGTCCATGACAATCATCTCTACTTGGGATAATTCCCCCAAAAAACTCTTCCCTCATACTGCAATTGGGCAAGAAATCCACATTGCATTTAGGGCTGCAGCTAAAGAACCCAATATCCCATTCCTTTCCACCAATACAGTGCTCGTGCTCCAACACACAATCATGCCCACCGCTTTCACTGCTACCCATACCCACAAGACTATGTTGCCAATCTTTAATGACATCACCTTTCACATATGCTTCTTGTGGCATGACAACAGCATTACAGTTCTCATCTCCATTCAGAATAACTGTATCTGTATCCCTAAGTGTGCATTTAGATCCCGGAAGATACTAGGCAAACCAAAGGAAAATGTTATGGAGCCAAATTAGAGCGAAAGAAACTGTGGGAGAGGGGGATAAAAGGCAGGCTAAAACTCAAGAAATTTACTTTTCCGTGTTCTAAACATACCTTAACAGTTTGTTCATGATTGACAGGCATATTTGCCAAATTGCTAATATCCTGATTACATGCTGATCGATCATCGTCAGGGCGATGATCGTCATCCAGATAAATAGGCGACTCTGCATGTGAATCTTTATCATCATCACTCATTTTAGCTTCATCACCAGATGAATCCACATTTGCATGCCATTCATCATTGTCACTATCAATATTCAAGGGGTCAAACCTATTCTGCTCAGCTCGCCTCCTCAGCATGAAGACATTGAAGTAGTAACTCACTATTTGATTCCTAGTTCTTGAAGGGAACTCAACACCAAGATTGTCCCAGAAATTCTTTCCCAGAGATGCAGGGTTGGAAAAGACAACATCGTGGAACAACTCCTGCTCTTCTTCGCTCCATCTCAACGCCACAACTTCACCCATATCATAAAATCCAAGCTTCTCAAATATCTCCTCCCCAAGCATTCTCTTGAGTTTCTCTCTTGCTTCACAATTGTGCTGGCGGATGCATCTGATGGAGCCTGCATCTTCACAAAGACAACTGCTGCTTATAATCCCTGGACTACTCACTTCATTGTATCCAGACGAGTCTTGTTTGGGCATGGGTATGATACAGGTCCCACAAAGTCTATTTTCATCACTAAAATGGGCATTGCTATGTGAATTCGAAGCTTGGGAGGTATCATTCTGTTCCTGTCCCAACAAATCAGGTAATTCTGCCTGATGATCTGGACCAAGAGGAACCAGCTTTTGAGGAGGGCTTCTAATGAGAGTAGAATATATCAGTTTTGATCGCGAAACATTGAGGTTGTAATGCTCAGGAGACAATAAAATGTGATAAGGACACTCTGACTTAATATCTTCACAGGTGCTGCTAGTGAAAGAACCAGGATGAATGCCTGGTTCTATATCTCTCTCTGAACTCTGGAAGTCATCAGTACAGCCACCATCAAATTTATTATCACTTGTGATTTTTTTTTGAAATGAAATGTCCTCCTCACCTTCACCTACCAAATATTAGGACCCATCTTTTAGTACCATCATACACTAGTGCATTAAGAAATTGTTAGGGCCCATCTGGACCTCAGAAATGTTAATGATAGAAAATGGGAGGAAAAATAGAGCGGAGATTTGCAAGGGGTGAAATTGAAGGGGGGGGAATCGGTTTATAATACAATTCATTAATTTTATATATCTTCAACCTATGATGTATACATACTACGTATTTCTGTCATATACAGACTGAGAAATGTTAATATATGAAAAATGAAAATTAAAAACTTTTAGTCAAATTTGATTTTATTTATCATTATCCAGCCTGCAACCAAACATAAAACCATTTCCTCAGCATTTTCTTCATCTACTTACAATTTACAAGATCTAAATATAGCCTTAAATTGCAAGGAGGTAAAGAACGTTATAGGGTAGTAGCAAAAACCTATTAAATCAATAAAAATATTAGCATTACATTTTTATGATGTTATGGAATCATTTTTTTCACCTAATGAGTGATAATTGATAGCAATTTGATCATGAGAAAACCCCAAAGAAGCTATCTGCTCATCACGGCTCACAATCCTAGGCTGCTTGGAAGATAGCAGATTCAGCTCTTGGTCAAATGACCGCTTTTCCACCATGTTAATCTGAAAATGTATTTTTAGGGGGTATAAGTAGCAGAACAAAAATATATATATGCAACATAACACCTCAAGTTTCACATGTGTTGCATGCGTGCAAAATGAAAAGGCACATTAGAGCTTTTGACATTGACAAGCTCACAGGCCGAAAAGGTCATTCAACTAAATCAATAGTGCAGTAAGAAATATAGACTGGTCAATGCTTATGTAAATCCATTGGAAACACCATGCCCACATAATCCCCTACCTCTCCTATTGGCAATGAAAGCTGTTGGACATAAGACTCATAACCATAGCCACAAAGTTCGCGGAATGCTTCGGTACGGTAACGAGGATCAAGAACGCAGTTCGCTAGGTCTAGCGTACTGAGGGGGGTAGGTTCATTTCGATACACATTAGGTATGCTGTACCTTATGTTTAATATGTTGTACCTTATGTTTTGGTACTATAGTAAAACAGAATTACACATTTCATAACACTAAACAAAAAAACAGATTTCATAACATTAAACAAAATAAAAAGTACTCCCTCCGTCCCATTGGACTTTGCAAACTTTCCCTTTTCGGTTGTCCCAAAAAACTTTGTTACTTTCCCATTGAAGTAACTAATTTATGGTTCTTCTCATTGCTCTCTACTCTGCACAAACCTCAACCACACAATTTTTACTATTCTCCTTATTTCTCAACTAATTCAAACCGTGCAAAGTACACTAGGACGGAGGTAATATTAATAGTAGTATTATAGAAACTCTTACCTCAAAACTGAAAATACAGAAACTTTAAATAGGAGAAGACTGGAGTACTGAACTACTGGTGTACAGGAGAGTAGAAGGTGTCTGAAGGACTGAAACTGAACAATTTTCACTCCATTAAATAGGCGACCTTGTGGAAGAGTAGGTGTGGTCGGAAAACGAAGAGTCCTGGAGCAGAAAACGAAGAGGTTGGTTCCAGTCTGTAGCAACGTTTGAAATCAAACATTTGTGGGTCATTGTATCTGCATGCGGAAAGAAAACAATGAGGCTTGATAGCGCTTGGTGCGTATGCGATCGACATCAAAAGTGATTGTGAATGAACTGGATAGGGATTGCGAACAAACTGGAGAGCATTTGCGAATGAATTCAATAGCGACTAGGAACGATCCGGGAAGCATATTCACTAGCGATTCTGGTAGCATTTGGAACTTTGGAATGCTTTCGTTAGTTCATACCGCAATTGGATACGGAACGTTCAGAACAGAGAACATGGGCTCTTGAGCAATTTATGTAACTATGGTCATAATATATCCTCTGTTAAGCTGCTAATGGACCTCATAGTTACAAATTGCAGACATTTCCCCCCTTCGCCCCCAATCACATCATTCATTTACTATATGCAATGATAAAAACATTAAAAATGGCGTCAAAGTAGATGTTGTTCATAGAATTTCCTTGGGTAGTCCTTCGTACTGAATTCTGACAAAGTGCATTCTAATAAAGAACTATGAAAAAAAATCACAACCATTTCCCTGATTAAGTTCACATTCAAAAGCAGTATTACACAATGTCTGTACTCTTCAACTCAATGCAGTATACCCAGTTATCAGAAACAGTAAATCATGAACAATGCATTTAAAGAGCCATCTGTAAAAAAAAATGGTAGACTACTCGAGAGAAATTCTAAACACAGGACAAACAGACTTAAATTGAAGACAAGTAGGGCCAGAAAGCTGAAAAAGTCTAGTTGTACACGAAATTTGTACACATCAAGAATTGTTGTTATAGATAAGCCCACTGAAAATTAAACATTCGAATACCTGAAAGTGGAGGGGTGCTCTTCAAATCGAACCAGATCTTCGAAACTGATCTAAATCCAAATGGATTAACCGAATAAAAAAGTATTCAAAATGATTATTCCCCTCCGGAATAGTGGTTATCAAAATTAACTAACCCTAGATCCCTAAATACAACCATGCAAATTAAAAAATAAAATATTTTTTTTACCCAATCAAATATAATTTAACAATAGAGTATGAAAACGCCTGGCTTTGAGACACCAGATATCCACCTAGAAAGACTAAAAAAGAACCGCAAGCAGGTTGAAAACTACTAGACAAACAAAGATTCACAGACAAAACTCTTCTATTAATTAAATACTCCCTATATAGGAAATATAGATCGAAGGAGGATAAGAAAACAATATACTGTAGATGTTACAGAAATATGGAGTATGCAATCTAAATATAGACAAACGGGTTTGAAATGAATCCAATTGGGGATGATGTTAAACGGTGAAACCAGGAAAGGGCGAAGCTAACCGATCTGTGAAATCGACACTTTTCTTTTCTTTCTCAAATGAAAACGTGGGAGGGATTTGGTCGTACAAGTGTACAGCACGTTTCTTTTGTCGTGCAGAATGCAGATGGACTTCGTATTTTTTAGTACGAAATTAAAAAAAAAAAAAGTACTGGTAAAAGTTATGCAACGAAATTTGTAGAGGCAGGTGACAGAGGAGAGGAACATATCAACAGAATTACAAATTTGTTAATTTAGTTGAAAAGTGACTTTTGGAATAACAAAAAAGAGTAATTCTTGGAGTTTATACCATGTCTGTGTACATAGATATTTTGAAAAAATGGTGTCACTTTTCAAAAGAAAATGTTTGTGTACACACTACACAGAGAACTAGGAGAGTTGTGTACTAATTTTGTGTACAACAAGAATTTCGCAACAAAAAAGAAAGCCGGTAACATCCCGTAGGGAGTATTGAAGCATCATAATTATTATTATTAATTGAGATATTACTCAAAATGGGACTAAAAAGGTTTGGAAATTCCTAAATAGGACTTCTATGTTTTTATTCCCAAAATAGGACTAATTACTGTCATGTTTTGGCAGTACCAGACTTCAAATATGACAGTATTTTCCAAATTTGGCAGTAATTAGTCTTATTTTGGGAATAAAAACATGACAGTCCTATTTTGGAATTTTCAAACTTTTTTAGTCCCATTTCGGGAACTTTCCCTTATTAATTATCATGTACAAATGTTATCATGTATACTTAGTCAATAGCATAGCTAACCAATACGTATTTAGCTCCACTATTATAGCTAGTTTATTTCTATCTCAATAGCTCATACATGTATATAAATATTGATCCATGTACGTCAAATGATATATATGAAAACTACTATTCACCAATCTTTATATGGTATCTAGAGCCAACCTCATACCAGCATAATTTTTTTTCTAATGGCCATTACTGCCACCACCCCGGTGATCCAACTCACCGCCACCACCAATTTTCCCATCAAACTCACATCCTCCAATTTTTCTGTCTGGAGATGCCAAGTTCATGCCGCTCTTGTCGACCTCGGACTTGAAGGTTATGTTGATGTACCACGACCGCTCCTGACCAATTCCTCGACGAAGCTAAATCTCAACCAAATCCCTGTTATACCATCAGGTACCGCCAGGACAAGGTCATCACGAGTGCGTTAATCGGAAGATGCTCCGAAACAATTCAACCGCTACTTTCATCAGTCACTACAACTCACCGTGCATGGGAAAAATTGGCTCTCACCTATGCCAGTACTTCCCGTGGACACGTAATTTCGCTCAAAACCACCATGGTCCAGACCACCAAAGGTAACCGTTCTATTCTTGAATATTTGGTTGAAATGATGGCACTGGCTGAAGCTCTTGCACTTGCTCAAAATCCTATGTCCGAGGAGGATATTGTTATTAATGTTCTCAAAGGACTTGGAACTGAATATGGCGAATTAATGTCTGCTATTCGAATCCCTGAAATTGCGCTTACAATGGTTGAACTCCAAACAATCTTGCTCGAAAAAGAGCGAGACATAGCAGAAGCAGCAGCGGCCAATGTATCCCTTGTTCCTACGGCCAATGCAACTCAAGTGGCTGACCGCACGGTGGCATCTCATTTCCCTAATGAGCGTCATCCACCTGGTAACGATCGTCGTAGTGCGCCATCACATAGGGGAAGAGGTGGGTCATCACATTACTCTTCACGTGTGTCCTCCTATGGTCAAACAGAGTGCCGATTTTGTGATAATCTTGGTCACACTGTACAACAATGCAGAAAGCTCCAACGTTTTCTTAGGGATAATCACATATCATATACGTTGAATTGCTCCACTCCCACAGTGAATCATGTGACCACTCAATCATTTCAAACTTGATCAATCATGGATGTTTGATAGTCGAGCATCCCACCATGTCACTAATGATGCCACCCGTCTTCCTCAATTCACCGAGTATGGAGGCCCGGATGAAGTTCGTCTAGGTGATGGTAATGCACTTAAAATCACTCATACCGGTTCATCAATTCTCCCTACACCTACCCGTCCCCTTTCCCTTTCCCAAATTCTTTGTGTCCCTCATTTAAATAAAAATCTTATATCTGTTGCAAAATTATGCAAAACTAATAATGTCTCCATTGAATTTTTCTCTACCCATTTTATTGTCAAGGATCGGGTCACGGGGGCGCCACTTCTACGAGGGGAGAACACTAATTATCTCTATATATTATGCCCTAGTATCTCAAGGACCACAAGTCAATCCTACTCAACGTCTAGCTCCGTCTCAATGGCATCACATTCTGGGTCATCTATCGCATCGTGTTTTTAATTATCTAGTTCATCAAAATAAAAGTATGAGTTTATGTAACTAGTCCAGTTCGTTCCATTGTATGTCTTGTTCAGTTAATAAAAGTACAAAGTTACCTTTCTCTGAAAATTCTGTGTCTGCAAATCGTCCTTTAGAACTTCTTTATAGTGATGTTTGGAGCACGCCTGAAAAGTCAGTTGATGGGCATAACTATTATGTTATCTTTGTTGACTATTTTAGTCGTTACATATGGTTCTACAATTCTACCCCATTAAACATAAATCTGATGTCTCTACTGTGTTTCCACAATTTCACCGTCTAGTTGAATTGTTGAAAAATATTTTAATCATAAAATCATCACAATGTTTTCTGACAATGGTGGTGAATTTATTAAATTGCGTCCCTATCTCAATACTCATGGGATTTCACATATGACCACCCCTCCTCATACACCTGAACACAATGGGTTGGCTGAGCGGAGACATCGACATATTGTTGAAACCGGACTCTCCTTACTACACTACTCCGGTCTTCCGATAAAATATTGGTCCTATGCTTTCCAAACAGCAGTGTACTTAATAAACCGGCTACCCACACCGATCCTTGACAATGACACTCCCTATTCCCGTCTCCATCAAAAGCCTCCCAATTATACAAAATTAAAACCATTCGAATGTTTGTGTTACCCGTAGCTACGTCCATATTCACACACTAAAACTGAACCACGATCTACTCTGTGTGTGTTTCTGGGCTACTCCCTTACTCAATTTGCATATTTTTGTCTTGATTTATCCCAAAATAAAACTTACACCAGCAGGCATGTTCGATTTATTCCATAAAAATATCCCTTTCGTAACATGCAACCTAATTCATGCAATTCATGCAATTCATGCATGGGTTCCAACCGTAGTCCTATGTCTACACCGCCTTCCATTACGACCAGTCCTATTCTCTTGGTGCCCAATCCGCCAATTTCTCCTCCCCCTATACTTACTCCGCCTAGCTCACAGGACCATCCCTATTCAAATTTAAATTCAAATTCCAATGGCCATTCATCCTTATCACAAATGATTGGAATTAATAATTCCAATATCTTATCCCCTCCACCGAATGAGTCTCTGACTCCACCGCCCAATTTCAATAACTCTCCACCTATCCTACCCTCTCATAATGAGACCATTTCCTCTCCTGGCCCACATATACAAAACCCCACTTCTAATCCCAACGAGACACCCATACTTACCCCAACACCACATCATCTAATCTTCACTCCTTCTTCGGACACATCTCTTAATATGTCACAATCTTCTCAGTCTCATACCCCACCACATAACCCACGTCCCAACATCTCTTAATATGTCACAATCTTCTCAGCCTCATACCCCACCACATAACCCACGTCCCAATCGCAATCGGCACCCAAATCCCAAATACTTTGGGAGCCCGTTTGTGAATCAAACCACCACTCACCCCATATTACCCACACTAGAACTGGCGAGTGTGAAAGCTGCATTATCGGACCCTAGGTGGCGTCGGGCTATGGAAGAAATGGAGGCACTAAAATGGAACAATACCTGGACACTAGTTCTCCGTGCGGCTCATAAACCTATCACTTGTAAATGGTTGTTTCGCATAAAGAGGCATGTTGATGGCAGTATTGCTCATTTCAAGGCATGCACGACTAGTAGCCCGAGGATTTCTTCAACAATCTGGACGAGACTATGCAGAAAAATTTAGCCCGGTCACTAAACCGCCTACTATTCGGGTTGTCCTGTCTATAGCTCTATCTCAACAATGGCCTCTACGTCAGTTGGACGTAAATAATGCCTTTCTTCACGGCTCTCTCTCGGAGGAAGTTTATATGATGCAACCACCCGGGTTTAAGGATCAATCTCACCCCATGCATGTGTGTCGTCTCCAAAAGGCATTATATGGCCTTAAACAGGCACCACGTGCGTGGTACCTTGAATTATCACGTTTTCTTATTTCTGCAGGTTTTTGGAGGTCCAAGGTTGATGCTTCATTATTCATATTCTCTCACAAAAATATTCTCATTTACTTTTTAGTCTATGTTGATGACATAGTGGTCACTGGAAACCATTCCACTGCTCTGGAAAAATTTATTCATCAGCTCACGTGCAGGTTCTCTGTTAAAGATCTTGGCCTTTTACATCACTTTCTTGGCGTTGAAACCATTCCACATTCCGCCGGATTGTTTCTTACTCAACGCCGATATATTTTGCATATTCTTGAGGAATGTCACATGGATGGAGCTAAGGAAGCAGCCACGCCTATGAGTTCCAGCTCACCTCCTCAACTTACACATGGTACGACACCTACGGATCCTATACAATATAGACGGGCTCTTGGTCTGCTTCAATATCTGGCATTCACATGACCTGATATTTCTTTTGCCGTCAACCACATGTCTCAATTTATGCATGCACCCACGGATGTACACTGGCAGGGAGTCAAGCGGGTCTTAAGGTATCTCAAAGGCACTTTGAATTATGGTCTTTTCGTGAAATGCTCCTTGCCACTTACACTCACAGCATTCTCCGACTCTGACTGGGGGGCATTCATGATGGGGGCAAATCTACCACCGCTTATGTTCTATATCTTGGTACTAACATTATTTCATGGAAGTTAGCTCAGCAAAAATCGGTATCTCGTTCATCCACAGAGGCCGAATATAGAATTGTGGCTCATGCTAGTACTGAAATTCTTAGGGTTCGGAATTTGCTCAGTGACTTAGGAATCAATCTGCCTCATCCACCGCAGTTGCTATGTGACAATCAAGGAGCAGCATATGTCTGCGTCAACCCGTCTTCCACTCTCGCATGAAGCTAGCATGTTGCTCTTGATTTCTTTTTTGTTCGTGACTTGGTTGGGAACGGACAACTTTCAGTTCATCATATATCAAATAAGTTTCAAATTTCCGACATCCTTACCAAACCTCTTGGAAAAGTACCATTTGAAAGGTTTCGGTCCAAGCTGGGAGTTTCCAACGAAACCTCCATCTTGCGGGGCATATTGAAGCATCATAATTATTACGTAGTATTATTAATTATCATGTACAAATGTTATCATGTATACTTGGTCAATAGCATAGCTAACCAATACGTATTTAGCTCCACTATTATAGCTAGTTTATTCCTATCTCAATAGCTCATACATGTATATAAATATTGATCCATGTACGTCAAATGATATATATGAAAACTACTATTCTCCAATCTTTTTAGGGAGTATGACATATCAATTGTATATAAAAATATACTACCCGTTTTTAAATACTCGGAGTAGATGCAAAATTTTGAATTTTATACTCTGGTTGATCATTATTTAATTATTAGGAGTAATATATTACTCCCTCCGTCTCTTTTTGGTTGTCTTACTTTCCTTTTTGGGTTGTCCGGATGTCATGTTTCCCTTTTTGGTAAGAAATATGTGGTCTATATCATTTCACTTCATTCTACTCAAATCTCAATCACAACTTTTACTTTTCAACCACTTTATTAATAACCGTGTCAAATTGAAATGAGACAACCATTATGGGACAAAGGTAGTAGAAATGATATTTTTGAAGGATACTGTAATTTCCTCCCGGTTTAAATTTTCACAATTTAATTTTTTTTCATTTCATTCCTAATAAAGAATGCAATATATCAATGGTAAAATTCATCAAAATGGAAACATTAATACTAAAAGATAGAAGAAATAATTACATTAATATGACCACAATAAAGATGGTTCACAAAAATATGATTAGTTACTAGAGTAGTAGTGAAATCATAGTGATTCACGTTCAAGTTTTGAACTTAAGTTACCACAACACTACATTGTAGTGAAAAATAGTCATATTTATGTAAATAAGTTTTATTTTAGTAATATTCTTGTAAAAAACTCAAGATAGAACAAGTAATATCTTACTATTTTCAAGCAAAAACTTATGGATGGTTATAAAAATTGAACATTGCAAAATACTCCGTAATATTCATAGGCAATTTGAGGCATACTAATTGAATGATTATCCCATTCCAATTTTTTGGCATGCTAATATGTCACATAAAAACATACTAACACAGTTAAAGTATTTTTTGAATTTTTATGTAACCTGATAAATATGTAAAATAAATACATTAAAAATGAAGAGCCCTTTATGTAGAAAAAAAATCATTGTGTATTGATGGTGATTATATCTCATCGATAACATAAAAATTCTGTTAACAATGAGAACTGTCTATATTGTCTTTCAAACAACTCCATAATGAATGGCTCTAATAAGATTTTGTCACACAAACTCTGAAACTTAGATCTTATGAGGGATGAAGAGAAGTCTCCTTCATTATCCTTTCTGAACCCCCCCCCCCCCCCTCCCCAGTCCCCACTCAAGATTCTTAGTAGGCCTGTCAATGGGTCGGGTCTAGACCCGGATCCGACCCGGACCCGGTTGTTTTTAACGGGTATGGGTCCTTATTTTATTCCGTTTACCCGGACCCGAACCCGGACCCGTTAGTACTTTTAATAAACGGGTTGGGTATGGTACTTATGATTCCGACCCGTTAAGGACCCGGACCCGTTTAAAATTTCTTATTAGTATTTATACACACACACTAATACATAAAAAGATTAGTTATAATACTTCAAATAAAAAATACAAACTAATATATATAAAGTGATTAGTTTTAATTCTTTGATTAAAAAGAAACAAATTAATACATACCTAATGTATAAGTGATAATATAATAGTACGTAGTATATAATATGCTTTTAGTCCAAAAGAACTTTTTGTGACCTAATTTCTAGTCTAATATACGAGTTTTCTGTGGGAGAGAAAGAGACACAAAGTGCGGAATTGTACGCATCTACAAGAACCAATATTTTATTCAATAAAAGTACTGATTTTCTATGATAAACCTTGATTTTTTTTTTTGAAAAGTGAAGATATGTTTTTCTTTTAAATTTGTGCACTTTGATTTACATTTCATATACATGTTTTACTATTTTTTAAAAATTATATAATGTTCTGTCAAAAAAAAAGTTATATAATGCTGTACATATGATACTTGGCGGGTCTACCCGACCCGGTTCCGAGACCCGTTGGGTCCGGGTCCGGGTCCAAATTTTTAGACCCGCCGGGTAAACGGGTCGGGTCCGGGTCCTTTATTTACTTAGCGGGTCCGGGTCTGGAACACTACGTTCCGACCCGGACCCGACCCATTGACAAGTCTAATTCTTAGCTCAGTGAGTACTTGATAGTTGGATACGCCACACAAATAAGAGTATCATGCCTACAATGCATTTGATTAATTCAATTCATAATCTCATATTCTCATCATTTATTAATATTGAATTTGCTCAATTGTAGTATTTTAATTGATGATCTACATAAACCTCCATTGAGACTTGAGAGTGTAATTGAATTTGCTCTCACAAACTCATGTGAACAAAATAACGACCAATTTGATTACAACTTTGATCACTATGATACTCTCTTTACATACACACACATCACTTCCTCATGCCATTAGTTGGTGGCTAAATGGATTAGAGAAGAAGACAAGATGAAGAGTATCCCATCTCATTGGAACATGAATTATACACATTTAAAAAGTACTACAAAAATTCATACAACCTCAGCTCTATTTCATATGGAATGATATACTTCGTATTTGTTTTTGGACATAAAATATACACCTTGGTAGCACTCGAACAAAATTTGCATCTTCCTATCAACCTTTGTAAAGTTCATATACAGACAAATTTTCCAACACGCTTTTTTTTAACACAAATTTGTGATGAGAAATTTCTTGACAATGGACAACCTATATTATAACTGAACAGTAATAACAATAAGATCTAAACAACCTAAAAGTACAGCAGTGTCAAGTTCTTTGAAAATTAAAACAGATTGTCTAGGACAGTTTCATTGCCATTTGTTGAAGAAGTGCTCTCTTCTGCGATGCATTAATCACCTGGCTCGATTCCGCATTCTCAAGAACATCAGCAATTATGGCAGCTGCATGCCCAAGTGGCTCTTCTGCTGCTCTCTTTAGCATGAACGCCTGTGGACAGAGGATAACCACAACTATATTTTTAAACTGATAATATATTAATACTACCTTCATCCCCCAAAAAGTCTTGTTTGACCATGGTACAACTTTTGAATTTTTGTAATGTACGGCTGTGTAAAACCATGAACCCAAATCATTTTTAATGTTGGTTAGACTGCAACTATCCTATGCACAAATTAGTTTTATTTTATTTAAACGTTTTTTGTACAAAAGCTATTTGAAGCATGATTTTATTTTTGTGATGGAGAGAGTGATATACTTCGTACAATGGAAATAATGATGTTTTTAAATGCATAGGACAAACCAGAACAAACCAGAAACTTTAAGTGCAATAAACCAACATCTCAAGGCTTGGATGTTGTAGGGAGTATGATATATGGATCACAAATTAATATCGATACGCGTCAGGAAAAGAGGCAGCATATGCAAATATAATTTAGAGATATTACCCAAAATAGGACTAAAACATTTTGAAAATTCCAAAATAGGACTTCCATGTTTTTATTCCCGAAATAGGACTAATTATTGTCAAGTTTTGACAGTACCAGACTTTAAACATGACAGTATTTTCCAAATTTGGCAGTAATTAATCCTATTTTGGGAATAAAAACATGACAATTCTATTTTGGAATTTTCAAACTTTTTTAGTCCTATTTCGGGAACTTTCCCTATAATTTAATACAAGGTCGCCCGAAGTATGAAGGCATCCCCGCAAATATGATTACCCTGTTTTTCGGCTTATGACCCTTATCAGCCAACTCTTTCATCAAACACATAAATTTTGATTTCATACACTGAATTGTGTAATAATCAAAATAAGTAAGGTTGGAATTGTTTTTCTGTTTAAACTGGCTGAAGTTACTCTAGAGGACCATTTTAGCTATTTCTTGATATATTTTTTCTTTATTTTATTAATAAAATATATTTTAAATATAATTTTTTCAGAATTCGACATATTCAGCCACTTCAGTCAGAATATCATCAATTTCAGCAGAATCAACTAATTTAGTCAATTTCAGGGCCCGTTTGGTAACACTTAAATTGGCTCAATCGGTTGATTCAGCTGAAATTAATTAAGTTCTTGCTGAAGCGGCTTAATTCGTTGAATCTACTGAATTACGAAAGATTTTATTAAAAATATACTACGTATTTGATTACTAGAATAAAGAGAAAGTTATATGAAAATAGCTAAAATCATTATCTACAGTAACTTCAACCAATTCAGTCAGAAAAGTAATTTCAACCTTACTTATTTTGATTTTTACATTATTCAGGGTGCAAAGCTTTGTGAAAAATTGGCTGATAAGCTGAAAATAGGGGTCGCCAAATGGGTCATCAATGTTAGCAAAGGGGCTCATATTTTAATAAAGGGCAGCCCGGTGCACAAAGGCATCTCAACAAGGCAAGGGTCCGGGGAAGGGTCCCACAACGAAGGCATCCCAAATATAGAATCATATTATAGAGCGTGTGGACAGAGTATTTTATGGTCACCTGTCCATGGTGTGTTATAGTCAACGTGCAAGGTGGTTGATACCAAGGCTCTCCATCTATTTGGACAGGAAAGGCCGCAAAGAGTTGTATTTTGATTGACTGACCCTGAGCAAGCCTCCTTGCTTTAGATAGTCCTACCTTTACCGTTAAAACAATTATAAAGGATAAACCATTTAATCTTGACTACAGTGTGAATATACTATTATACAAATAAACATGTATATAACACACACACAAAAGAAAAGCCTAACCTGAAGCTTCCCAAGATGCCATGTTCCTGAAATGCTGACAACCTCAAGTATCTTATCATGCATGGATTGAGGATAAAAATTATCGTAGCTTTCGTCCTCGTTCTGCCACAAGTCCACACCTCCCATATAACTGCTAATGTTAGCAACAAGGACACCCTCTGCATCCTGATAATAATATGAAACATGTTTGTATTACGGTACTGGTACCATGATTAACCATAAAATAATACCACTTCAACAACAATCACCATACCTTGGAAAAAATTGAGAAAACAAAAAAAAAAACAATTTTACAAAAGGTAAGAAGCAAATCATAATAATAACACCAGTGTGCTACTTATTAATTGAAGGTTAAAACGTTGAATTATGAATTTGTGCACTCTGTAAATCTGGTTATCAATAGAAGATAAGCATTAAGGCATGTTATCTCAGACATACACAACTTTAGATGTGTCCTGATGACCCACCTCAGGAACCTCAATCTCAATGCCATCCACCTCTACTCGGACTTGCCAAGGAAAATCAGCAAAAGTCCTGTCCATGATGCTCCTGGCACCTTCTCTCGCATAGAGAACTTTGTTCATGAACTGCAATCATATTATTTAGAGTTTAAGATCATAAGTTGTGACCAAACTACAAACAATTTGATTACATCTTCACATGAAAAAAATGCACCTGCATAAACTGTCAAAATATTACACAAACACAAAACTAACATGAAACAAAAATAAGACGTTTCACACTTGCAAAATGTTTTAGGTATGATAAATTTAGTATGCATTTAGGAATTAGGAATATAACTCAAGATATTCCACATTCGTTTTAAACCATTTGAATGCTTCAATAAAGCATAAATTCAAATCCACTCAAACCAAAAGGCAGCCGAACTTAGCCAGCAAAGTGATAGTGTGCTAAGAGCTTCCAAACAAGCAAAAACAGCCTCTTCCCCTCCTAGGACACCATAAAAACATATAATACAACAATTAAATTACCTGATTGTAGAACTTTTCTGGGTTCTCCTCCCTCAGATTATGTATTTCCAGTGCAACCTTCGCATCGCAGCCAACCCCTGCACAGCAATAACCCAGATTTCGTGACAATAATCTATAAGTTGAATTCTATGTATAGATATTACGTAGACCACTTGCTACAAACACAATTCAATGGAAATCTCCAGGATACCAAATAATATAAACATAAAATGTTAGATAGATATAAAGTTAGATAGATGGGTTGATGTATTGATGGATGGACGGGCAGGCGGGTAACCATGTAACATGGAAACGTGAAACTATATTGCATTCAAAAAATAAAGGATGTCAAACATAAGGGGAATCCATAAGTATAAAACAAGAGCGATATATTTATATATGTATGCGGGTTTGTGTGTGTGAGTGTGTGCATTTTCACTTATATTTTTACCTTTTCTCCCATACAGGCATACACACACTCGTATGTGTATAATTATATATATTCAAAAAAAGTTGTAAAAATTGAATATTACTACCTCCGTCCCATTTATATTGGGACGGAAGAGAGTGGCACGGTTATTAAGAAAAGTGGGTTTGTGTGGTTGATATTAATTGATGAAGTAAGAATAAAGTAAGAATGATTTAGAGCCACACAAACTTTGCCAAATATGGTATGGGACAATTTAAGTGGGACTTCCCGAAAAGGTAAAACGGGACAATATAAATGGGACGGAGGGAGTATTAAAACTTACGTAGTAAAATCGTAAAATTGAATATTATTACTAGCAAAAAAATAATGACCTTCGCCATACAGCCGGACGCAAAAATATAGGCACAAAGAGCGGTGCATCACTTTAAACTAATTAAAAAAACATTATTTAAACAAAAGCGGTAAAGAATTAAATACTAAATAGTAGTGGCACTGTGGCAGGTGGCATAGTACAGGGTGATATGTACACCAAGGCAAAAACAGTGAAATAGTGAAAACAGACCTACAGTGACGGGGATAAGTTCACAAGATAGACCAACAGAGCAGAGGTTAAGACAGAGACGGAGAAAAGAGGAAAAGAAAGAGGCCAGTGTTTGAGGTAAAACCGTAAAACACAATCGAGAAAAGAGAAGAGACAAAGGGTTGAATGAAGAATGAAGGGACGTGGGCTGACTTGGTGAACTGTTGGAGCATTTGCAGGGAGAAGGGCGTAGAAATGGTAAAACTTAATTCCCAGGTGTAGGTTTTATGATTTGCCATTTGCGGCAGTGTCCAAAACGCACATTTTGAAGAGAAACGTGTTTCGCAGTTTAACAAATTACTGAATGGATCCAAAACTCATTTCCGTCATTTCCAGAGATTTCAAACATTAAAGTTTTTCTGAAACAGGCAAACTCATCCCTCAGAGCAGTATTGTGCATCCTACATAGGTAGGTAGAGAGAGTATATATAGGTGATTCAAATATAACTGTGCATGAAGATATCTGTTATCCATTTGGAAAAATCCTTTGTACATCTTTCGTAACAGCCCCCTATTTTGCATGTGATTCTTCTAAAAAAACACATAATCTTCTGAAACTTTTTGGGAGTTGTCTGTGGCGTGTAAAAAATAGGCGTGTACACGAAGAACGGTTATACCAAGAGTGCAGAAGTAATAAACTGATAATGCTGACCTCGAGTTACTTCTCTTTCCATCTCATAATGTAGGATACATTTGAATTCAATGTGCTCTTTAAGAAAATAAGGATGTTAGTGGTTTTGCAATTTTGTTTTTCAAAAATACAGGGCCCACTCAGTGAAAAGGTCAAGGTTAGCTGAAAGGGTAACTGGAAAAGTTAAAGTGTTACTTGATTTAAATTTGGCCGGTGAGCATAACATCAGGACAGGGAAAACGAAAGTGTATTGAAGTATTTAATGAAATGGAATGGAGTATATGGTACAGACAAAATCCATTCAATTAAAATAACATTGTAAATTTTCTACGAATAAAGTCTAAATAAGAAAGATCAGCAGATGATGCTATTGAATAAAAGTAAGGAAGAACAGGTTGGGTAGGTTCAGGGACGTTGGTCGTGGAGTAGGTTCACCAGTATGGAGGGTGGAGTCTTGGAGTGTGGGAGACTTATGAAGAGGTCGGTGCAGATCGATAATGACTTGGATTGAATGGGTATGGAGAGACATCAGGGTGTTGGGGCTTGATGAATACATAGCACACTAGCTGGAAATATTTAATTAAATCAAAGCTTACTGAATACCAACAATATAAAGTTATACTTTTAAATAGATATCAAGTTAGATAGATGGGTTGATAGATGACAGAATAGAAAGGAGATAGAGGATTCAAGTGGATGACCTCTGTGTGTATTCTATTGGTTCATGTAGGTGACACCATTATTGAATTAGGATTACGGGTTGCTTTTTATTATAGTTATTTGTGTATTAAAAGCATGCATACTTATTTTTAAATGTGTATGTGGTCATGATAATAAGTCAACATACCAAGATAATTGTTCATGAATTTAGGTGATTGAAGCTGATTTCCTTGTTGGTCAGAAATTGAGAGCTTCCACCGATCAAGAACAGTGACTGCAGCTTGTTCTATGTCACGCAAAAGTGGACAAAGGCCACCTTGTCTCTCAACTGAACCCAAACCACCACCCCAAGAAAGAACTCTAGCCAGATCATTTCCTGTCCCAGCTGGAAGTATTGCCATTGGTGGGGGTGAAACAAAGTCTTGCTTGTCTATGGCATTTAAAACCCAACCCACTGTACCATCACCTCCACAAACGAGAATTCTGAAGTGTGGTACCTTTCTGAACAAAAAGAGGCCAGCTTCCGGCCCCTGGGTTGAGCTCAACTCAAACACCTAACCAACGAAAGTTATGCAATATGTATGGCAATGTCAGCAGTAAGAACTAGTAGACAGGCACTTAAGCACTAAGTAGCTGAAAGAGAATGAATCAATCTACAAATAAGTTAAGTCTTCATGATGTTTAAATTGGATGGTTCTGTATAATCATAATAGACACCAGAGAAGAAATTGGCCCCTGCACGTCCTTTGTTTAAGAATTTATTTAAATGTCAATTGGATCAAACACACTATTGTCACAGACACACAGCAAAAGTACACTGAATAAATTCTTTATTTTACTCCATATTTGTTTTCCATTAACACTTCCTTTATTCAAATTGTAGGTTACATAGTATCCTACTATCCTGCATATACAGAAAGAGATTCAGTTGTGACCAATGTATAGGAGATATCTGACCTGTACAGGATTTAGAAGGACACTTAATCGTCGTCTAAGTGAATCCCCTCGTTGTGCCCCACTTTTCTTGTTAATGAAAGCTAGCAGAGGTCGAACATCTGAAGGCATATCAGTCACCTCATATCTCAATTTTATCTCAATAGGTTGAGTATCATCCTTTTGATTAGCAGATGGACTTTTCTTAAATTTGGCCTTGGGTTCCAAAATCTTAACTTCTTTATCACTCTCCTTGTCAACACTTTCTGAATGTATACCACCATTACAGTTCTCCTCAATCATATGGGATCCATTTACTGCTTGACTTGTATCAGCAGAGGATTCAGTTGATAGATCACCAACAGAATAATCATTCCCTGTTTCTGCTGAGATCTCAGCTAAGTGCTTATCATTTTTATGCTTGTGCTTCTTGCTTTGACTTCTAATAATTGTAGCACGGACAGAGGATGCAAACCCATTGGCACCATGAGTGATAGAGCTTAGCAATCCACTCGAAGAAGTCTGATGTAATTCTTTAACATAAAGTGGAGACAAAATAAGCCTTCTGAAAGGCCCCAAGTCGCAAGAATCACTGTTCTCATTGCACATACTACTATGACAATCAACATGAACCAAACGCTGACACCATAAGCAGCACCATATGGGGGACCCGCCAAGAAAAGATCCACTGCATGGCTCCTCACAGTACCTACAGAAAGAAGCCTCAAATGGTTGATCAGCAACTTCTGTCCACCGCACTGCCCACTGATGCACCACATGCTGATATCCAATCATAGACACACACTTGCAATCCTTTTGAGCACTTGATGAACAACTCAGATGAGCTGCTGCACCACAAATGCTGCACCTATTAAAAACACACTCTGAAGTAACCATAGGACCAAGCGTTTGTGAGAGAGAAATCGACTTTAAACATACAAAACAGTTCAGGTTTTTCCCTCTAGAGACATCCTCCAGCTCCCAACTGTGTGGAGCAGCAGGAACTTTGTGTCTTGCTTTCGGGTGTTTCTTTGACCTAGCAATGGCTTTCATCCATCCCAAGTTTATATTCCTTCTCCATTGAAAAGCAGTGTAAAAAATCGTCAAAATCCCTATTAATCCTGCGACCATGCAGGATAAAATGAAAAGCCTGGATTCTGCCATTTCTGGTGGATCCATAACAATCCAGCTCTGAAACAGAGATTCATGATCTCGAATATCTTCCATTTCTCTATACTTCTATCAGCTGCACATTCTATGAGCAAAAGCAAGTGCAAGTGAATGGAAATATTTTTGCATCTTCATTACTACACCATCCTACTCATAAACCTCCGAGCGGGGGATTAACAAGGAGAGACAATCCCTCCCAACTTACCTGCAAAACACAATAACATCACTACGGACATGAATGACTGGAGATCATGCCCTATCATAAATATAACCTCATTTACCCTACTTTTTTTGCTTCCATTTCGAAATTTCCTCGGTAAGAAAAACATACAGGTCCTCAATAAGAGAAGCATAATTAAACAACAATACATTGAAAAGCAATCATTAATGTGGTCATCCACGACAATGCTAAATACAAATATCAAGCCATGGAAAGAGTAGGGCAAAGCCAAAACCCACCTCAAGAGGGATTCGATAATCTGTCGGTGGGGAATCCTTGCACAGAGGTGGAAAGCGCGCGAAATCGAGGGAGGAATATATGTTTTCCCTTGAAAATGGAGACACTGAAATAGGAATAGAGAAAAAACTATGAATTTTGGTTGAAAGCTGAACTTCAATCACAACGATTCTAGAGATTCTATATGCTGGATGAGCGTCCAGGGAAAATAGAGTTGGGAGATTCCCTCGACAGCACGTGTAGGGCGCGTGGGGCCCTTTATTGTTAGTTTACTCCCAAAAGGCCCAAATGACTAAGAGCCCGTTTGGAGAACTCTGTTTTCGGCTTATCAGGCTTATCAGCCAGCTTTTTCACCAAACACGTAACTTTTACTTTCGCGCGCTGAATTGTGTAATAAGCCGAAAAAGTAAGGTTGTAGTTACTTTTCTGGCTGTATTGGCTGAAGTTACTGTAGAGGACCATTTTAGCTATTTTTACATATAATTTTTTCTTTAATTTATTAATAAAATATATTTTTAAAATATTTTTTTCTTAAATCAGCAGAATCAGCCAAAACAGCCACTCCAGCCAGAATATCATAAATTTCAGCAGAATCAGCCAAAACAGCCGATTTTGGTGCTACCAAACGGGCTCTAAATTAAATGCATTTAATTATGGAAAATTCTATTTGTAAACCTTATTTTTTTAATCTACGAAGGGTACTTAATTCATAGAAATAGCATTCAGCAAGGGTACAAAAGCAGAAAAAAACCACATGTAACCATCCGCCTGTGGCCGAGACTAAGAGTTAACCACCTGTAAAAAAACAGTATAACTCGCAAGACCAAAATTGAGCAACTTAAAGCCAATGACGGTTACCGCAGACTTTCCATCCTCCAAACCTAATGAGAGTCTTACAGCATAAAATAAAATAACAACAAAACACAAACGTCTTAATTTGGAAATTAAAATGCAGAAAAGGTAAATCATAAGCAAACTCCAAAACGCGTCGATCAATATTACCCTATTTATTTACCATTCGCATAGACAAAGAATATTAATACAGACATTTTTCAACAAAAATTATTTGTGTGAACAAAATTTGTCTATAAACATGTTTGAGCACAAACAAAAACATACGAGTATATGCATAGACACTTTTTGTGTGTACAGAAATCTAGTGTCTATATTTGTACATAAAGTTTTGTGCAGTCTAATCTGACTTTTTCTACGAAAAAGCGCAGCGCACCAATTAATTTGATTTGCGCGAAAATCAATGTCTATACACGGAAACTAGTTGTAAGTATACACACAAAAAGTGTATATGCACACATATATTTGTCTATGAACAACCTATTTACAGACAAATTATGTTCACACATACGGAGTACAAATTTTCTCGGAGAGTGTCTGCATTTGTACTTTTTGTCTGTGCAAAGGGTAAATAAATAGGGTGTAACCCGGGGTGTACGCCAAACACTAGTGCACTACTGCTTAGTTACATCTCTTCTCTTCATCACATAAAATAATAAAGTAAAAATTATATGATAGAGATGTATATAGAAAAGATAAAATTAATAAAATTCACAAATGCTTAATTTTAAAGGAAAAGTGACAAATCAGTGTGACAGCATAAAAGCAAAAGTTGGCAAATTATAAAACACGGATGGAGTATATAAAGTTATACGTCCTGTGTTCTTTTTTAGTTGCAATACTTTCATTTTCACGTGAGGAGGGCGGTCCAGCCTAGCTGGTCGCCGACTCACTCTTCCTTACGGGAGGTCTCGGGTTCGAAACTCAATGGAGTGAGTTTCAATCCTGATTACTCCGGGGGGCCATCCCCTCTCCCACAGACGCCCCCTTGAGTAAAAAAAACTTTCATTTTCACGTCTGTCAACGCACAACTTTGATCATTAATATATTTAATTCAATAATTGTAATTTTTTTAAAGTCAAATTTTGAAAATCTAAAATGAGAAGAATTTAATTATATTTGTAACAAAATTATTTTTCACTGCATTCGTGAGTACATTGTAGTCAAAGTAGAGCGTGTGAATCATGTAAAATTTCTAATGTTGCAACTATTTAAGAACGGAGGTAGTATATTTTTTTAGAGTAAGAACAAATGTAAAAATGTGTGTGTGGCGGATCTAATACAAAGTGATTTTTATCGTGCTAAATTTTGTACAATGAAACTTTACGTTATTTGTATTGCATATTGATGTCTAAATTGTTGCATATTATTATGCGATGAAATAAGCGGTTGCATATTAACATTTAAAGTGTTGCATCCGAAAATTGTTGGTTGTATGTTACTAAAATGTCATTGTACATTTTAAGTCATTAGATGTTTCAAATGGTGGGCCCAGATTAGTTTGTATTTTGTACATTTGAAGCACTTTGCATTTGATCCTTGATGTGTGTGTGTTTGTGTGTGTAGAGAGAGAACTTTTCTTATCGGTCTGGAATGATGGGAACCACCATCCAACCGCCTCCATTTGAGGTGTTTCCGAGTTGAATTTATGATGATATTTTGTGAGTAATTAAGCATGTTCTTCATTAAGTATAAATTATGTCCGCAAAATATCATCTTAAAATTCAATAGGAAAATCAGTTAAATAAATTATTAAAAAACAATGCCATGAATTATTAACTAAACTAGTTATTTCACATGTAGTTCCCCCGTGAGTTTATTTTTCTATCATATTAAATAATTTTAGAAGAGCATATAATATTAATTAAACATCACAACATGTTGGGTAAATAATGCGCTAATATTGCAGAAACAATATAACATGATAATGAATAATTATTTGATACGCTAGTTACATTTTCTAATGTGTTATCAAGAAAATCTGTAAAATTTGAAAACAAACCAGACTCACTCATATTTCACATAAATAAATTTTGTTTTAAATGAATTTATCCTTCATTTTTCTCTTTGGTAAAATCTTATGTTATATACATAAAGAGAGAATCCACTCCCAATAGTGCATAAATGGGAGGAAAAACATTATCTGGACAACATTCTCCCTTTATGTATATAGGATAGGATGGGATTAGGAGTAAATGTTGAAACACTTGTAAAAGAAACAAAAAGAAATGTTAAAGAAGTGTAAAAGAACCCGTGACAGTTAGAGGTTTACTTCGACTCTTCCTTTATTTTCTTATAAGCAGTATTTGCCATTAAGGCAATAATACTTCTTGTTCATTTATATTTTGTAGGTAATAAAATATATACCCACATAATAAATAAACATGAAAAAGCATTAATCTTCAGTTCAAAAATCAAATTATTTTTGAACCAACCCCGTCATGACTAGGACTAATGCGAGGAAGTTACATTGGTGGACAAATCTAACAATAACAATATTAAATTGGTCGGTGATCCGAAACTAGTACCCGCAGGTAAGCCTAACTCAAGGGCATGGTGGAAATTAAGATCGGACAAATCAGAAGATGAAGCTCGACACTAGACTTAGGACTCTTGAACCCTCCAAGTATATTTAATATAGCTCTCCTCATCCGTAAACGCGCAAATATAGTATAAGTGGGACTTAATATCTTATGAATGATCTTGTGTCTGAATGTTATCATATTTCATATGTTTCACATCAAATATTTCAAGAATAAATATCACATTTTTGGGTGTAATCTAAAGTATCATCATAAGTTGTATTATACTTCATACGTAGTATTAAATTATCTTAAATTAACAATATTACGTAGGGAAGGTTCTTATGAGAACCACTGTTATAATGATCACATATCTACAAATGAAACATTATGACCTCTAAGTTTCGTATTTGTTATCATTCTGTAATATTCACAGTGCAACACTAGTATAGTTATTTTATTTGCAAACAATTCCCCATTTGAATTTAAGATAATTATAAAGATGTCATTGTATTGGATGTTTTCCATTGGTTATAAAATTGAAAATCTAGGATGCCACAATCTATACAGATGAGAGATAGCTAGTGATTATCAAATTGAAATGCTGAGATTAAAAGACTTTTTAATGAGACGAGGTCATGATTAATAGAGTTTACACAACACACTTGAGTTTCATATGTAATGCATGTAAAGAAAAAAAAAGCAATTAAATGAATTGAATACTATAATTACCGCATGCAATTCAACTCTTAGATTATCATATCCATACTTATTCATCAGGGGGATTTCAAATGATTTTTTTCATTCCTAGAATCATTTTATGACTCTTTCTGTGCATATATCATCTAAACCAAAAACTTGATATCCAGATTTTTTGTGTGACCAACAGGTGCTCGCGAAAATAATCTTGATTATTTAATATTGAATCTAAAGATTCAAATTAAACGAATCGTTATTTTTTTTTTTAGAAATTCATTTATGCATTCAAAGTTTTATGTCAAAATTTAGGCGGGTCAGACCTGTAATGGCCCACTCCAGCTGCGAGCATGGACAAAAGTATGAATTATTGAACATAAAATGACTAAATCAGAGTAAAGTTGTACAAATAATCCATATTTGATCAACCAAACCATATTGTAGTTTATCACATTGCCTCTACCATTCAATCATTCCTAAGTCGTTGTCTTCCACTCCATAGGTCGTCATAATTTTGTCTTATTTGAGCGATTCATTAGCCGAAATTGTTTAGGTTGTTCTTCTTATTTATCTTTGAGCTTGAGCATCTTCTTGTATATGAATATGTTGCCTCATGGGGTTCCTCTTCTTGATTGTCTTATTTAAAAGAAAGTTACCCATCAATTAGCTCCACTGCACACATTTTGGTCTGGTCATGAACTTAGCAACATTGCATTCGCCACATGCCCACATCTTTCCGTATATGATTTCTATGTTCAATTGATAAGCATACGTGTGTATGGAACATTTCATGCACAATGTTATGTTGTGCAAGATATTATCGGAGCAAATTTAGCATTCACTACCTCTATCAATTATAGATGTCTTAATTTCTTATCAAGTGGAGTTTCCATAAGGAATGATTTTTTATATTGAGTTTCTTCCACTTTGTTGTGGTAAAAACATATTTGGTACCCATGTCTATTTTTTCTACTTCTAGCCTTCTCGTATTCCACGAGAGACACTTTTTGGGGTATTCCTTATTAGGATTTAATGGATTTTAAAGAATTGTTAAAATTTCGTAGCATTCTATAATCCTCAATGTGGAATTCAATGGAATCCTGCTACATCTAATGTCCTGAACAT